CACGTTCCGCCTGAGCTGTCATTACTGAGTCCAAGCGAAAGCAAAGAAGAAAAGAAGAGAGCTACGATCTGACTACACTGAACGACTTGTGACGACTTGACAGACAACCAATATTTTTATTACCATGGCTTATTCTTTCTTATAACTACGTTATTTCGACAATACAATATCTTTCTATTATCCAACATATATGTCAAAGTTCAAAAGACTACGAGCTATAAAGCGTATAACAAGAGAGTACAAAATAAAATCACCGTATCGACTGTCTGTATAAAATACGTACGTTACTATGAAAAGGTCGAACGAGTTCTTTAAAAGTTGGATCTGCCGAGCATTTTACGTGCTCTGTCTACGGCAAGGATTCCATGAATTTATAGCATCGGATCACGTTGCAGGCAATCTAGAATAACTAAAGCAGTGTTGATATATTCTCTAGCTTATCTTTAAGCATCAATTTATTTATTTAAAGACTTGATGACTGATACTGTCAATTGGACCTTGATATCTATATTAAACTAACTTACATCTACGACTCTATCTATCTATGGAAAAAAGTAGCCTATATGTTCTTCCAGACTATGCTCTACATCTATGCTAAATTTCATCGAGATCCTTTCAGCAGTTTAGTCGACAAACTCTAACAAACATTCATCTAAACTTTTTCAATTATAATATTAATAAAACTGCTGTAGCTTGCATTGTATAATAGTAAAGTATCGTTAAATATTCATATTTAAGTGTCTCTAATGAAAAAAGTACTGTATTTCTTAATAATGCCAAACTTTGACTGGTAATGTTCTAACTTTTTCCTGTATTTTCTAAAGCCTTCCAACCCGTTTAGATTCTAATAAATCACAAACCTGAGACATGTAAATCCTTACAGCTGTTATCAGAAGGAAACGACTATAAAAACAACATAACACTGCCATTATTGAAAGAGAGTATTCTGAGGATAATGACGTCACATCTTATTAGAATTTGTGACGTAACAGGAATCATAAACTTACGCGCAGAGTTAAATCCGTAGAGTAATAACTTACAAATAATTATCTTTACTAAAATTATAAAAAGGAAGATTTATTTTTGTATGTATTGAAATAACTAAGTAATGGGCCGATTTTAAAATTTCTTTCACCATTAGGTAAGGTAATTTCTCTGTGAGTAACATAGGTTATATTTTTCTTAATTTCACGCAGGCGAATTCGTAAGCTAGTAAAAAAATAACACAAATAGTGAATTCTGCATATAGCCAGCCAATTATATGTATTCGTTTAAAAAATATGTTTTTGAGTCTACTTACGTATTTGTTAATAATTACAACTATTGTACGGGTTCTTATAAATATACCAATTTCTATACAATATAACTTAGCTTTCACAGCGTTGCCTTTACTTTTGCACCGTTCGACCAATTTAGCTGCAAATAAATCATCCGACGCGACACTTCAAAGCCTTTTCGCCTCCGAACAATATTATCAGAAAAATAATATAGCCTCGATAATAACAGATCCTATTACATCGAGTAGCCTTATGCTTCCTCTCTTTTGCTCATAAATCCTATTAACTACTTCAACACGAACGAAAACATTCGCTGTTATTTAATCTTTACGATGAAGTAAGATATCTTTTATTAATGATTTAGTACTTTAAGGTAAACATTTAGCTCAAGATTAAAAACATGTAAATAGCTGCTAATAGGAGTAAATTGTTCTATTAATGATCATGACATAGACTAGCTGTTACTCGAGTCTTCGCCCGCGTGTGAATAAAACAAGTATCCTATGTTACTCACAGATAAATTACCTTTCTAACGGTGCAAGAATTTTTAAAATCGGCTTAGTAGTTTTTGAGTTACTTCAATATATACAAAAGTACAAATCTCTCTTTATTATATTGGTATAGATTCAAAAAAACCTATGTAATAGAAGGAATTTAATAAATGCAACATTTTCTTCCATTACAGATAAATTTATTTGACATTTTAGTGCCGTTGTAATGGTATTTCATCAACTTTTTATTCACAACAGCGAGATACGCATCGCATAACGACACTCGGCGGTTAAACGATAAAATGTTTACAACATGATCGGATCAGTTTCACGTTCATTATTTCGGTGAAAACCACTATATTGTTATCCTTATTACTCCCTTTCAGAAAAAAGAAACAACAAAATACAAGCGTAACGCTGTCGAATCCTACAGTAACGTTGTATTTTATGTGATTACTTACTATAGTTTGGTCAACTTTACTGTCTTACATTCTTCTATGTCTAACAAGAGGGTGCTAGTGTGGATGCCCGACGGAGAACATGTGCAATGTGTCGTCATTTCTTAGGCGAAGACTTGACAAATGAATAGACGATATAACTTGTAGGGAATCAAGAAGGTGCTTCAGCCAGACTATGTGCCCTCACGTGATTTGGTCTGTATCACTCGAGGGTTTGTGAGGCCATGGGTAGTAGGTAGGCTCATTGCCCTACATGCTACAGGTAGCCACCAGTTTCCAGGCTTAAGCAACTTAAGGAATTTATAAATTCGTGTATGCCGGCCTTTAAATCGATTAAAAGTTGTGATAGTACATTGCAAGAGACTACGGTTCTTTCTTAATTGTAATCTATGGTAGCATCTATCAAGGATGTCTGTTACTTGATAATGAAGATAATAAAATTTCATCAACAAAGAGTTTCGCGTGACCTACGTTATTACATTATAATTTCCAATAACGCGGCCGGAAAGCGAAGGTAAATAACGTTTCGACAAAGACAAACAGTTGCCCGTGCTGTATAAAATCAGGTGGGGACCATTCGTTCCCAATTGTCGTTCCAAATTGATTGCTTTATTAAATTAACTTATTACATTTTGTTTGTACAAACAATGGATTCACGGCAATGGTTGAAAATTAATCGCATATTATTGATATAATATTCAATTATACTAACAAAGAGTAAAATATTTGGTTATTTATTTATGAACTTAAAAATAAGCAAATGATATAATAAAAAAGATAATTGAACGTCTACGATGACATGACTCTGAAAATATGAAACTAAAGGCCCCTCACACTAAAATCGGGTTCGAATACAAGTGGATTATTCCCAACCGTCACCCCGCTCTGTCCCCACGTGGAGACAGATGAGAATAAAGTTTCATTCGTCCCACCTTTTGCGACGAGGGGACGGTTCGACGGTTGGAACCACAATGAAGGAAATTATGACACTAACAAATAATAAGAAAAACAAATGACAGTAGTCTTCGAGAAAAGATTATTGGTGATCGAAGACAGTCATCGAAACAGGATTCATAATGAATTTGTGGCTCCGTTAAAGTGGTATATCTAGACATTTACGTGCGCGACTGTACCGGATTGTTTTCCGTTCTCGCCTGTATTTTATATCCACCAGACTTTCGATAAAGGCCTAATGAAATAAATACTTTTATAATAAAGCTTGTTAATTAAAAAAAATTGTAATCTGTTCTACGTAATATGAAGTTCATTATAACCGCATTGTAATTAAAACAGCGTTATTAATTATGCAACACTATATAGCATAACTAAATTTTGTTCAAATTACCTATTTACTTACCAATAAAATAGACACAAAAATCTACAGTCATGGTTAGTTTATAATTAACTAACCCTCGCCCACGACTCCGTCCGCGTGGAATAAAAAAAAACAAAAGTGAGTATCCTATGTGTTCTTCCAGACTATCCTCTACATTTTTACCAAATTTAATCGAAATCCGTTCAGCCGTTTAGGCTACAAACTCTAACAAACATCCATCTAAACTTTCGCTTTTATAATATTAGTAAGATAGTATAATATAGTATGATTACTAAATTAACTACTGCAACCTTTGCTCTGTGGGATTAAATTTTAGGACATGAACCAATCCTACAAAAAGGCATTCTTACATCGCACGTGTAACTTTGGGTCCTTCAATGAAAGGAATACCTTCGCCGTACCTACCTCTAAAGTATAAGGTAAATTCTAAATGTTTTTAAATAATTTTAAAATATCCTTTTGATATTTAAATCTATGAAAAACATAGATTCATTGACGTGAATCGCATTTAGTATTAAAACGATACAAACAAAACAAACACTGCAAACAACGTTTATTTTAATTTAGGCTTTGAAATATTCATTAACAAGCGACCAGAACTAGTTCAAACATGACGCACGTACAAAAGCCCAGAGTGATTTTCCAAAAGCGAATTAGTGAGGCAAATAAAATGGACACATTTTCATTTGGGCGTTGCCGTCAACTCGAATGTTTTGTTCTATATTCTAAATACAATCAATGCATACAAATAAAATCTTTTATTTATTTTTTGCTACTTACTAGATTAAAATCGTTTATTCGAACGTGCTTTTATTATTGACAGCCCAAATCCAAAAAACAGATATCACTGGAACCGAAGTAACATAGGGACAAATAGTTATTTTAAAATTGGATTAAGCCGCCTTCGAAACAACTAAATGAGGTGTTTAAGGCTTCCTTCAAAATCCTGTAAATGTTGAAACAAGGATGACCATAAGTTTAAAACTCCACGCGGACATCAGCTAGTGAAAATAGCTATTTAATCGGAAAAAATCAATACGTGTTTACTAAATATTTTTATAATGCATGTGGCATCCCTACAACAAAAGCAAAAAAACCCTTGCCCTCAGTTTATCTGGCAGCTCACGAATGTTTGTTCAGGCCGTTATTGCCTCGCGTGACGTTTTTCGCCCCAGGCGCGTACTTCGTATTCCTACTGTACAATATTGGCGGTATCTTAGTGTAGGAATAACGACTCTTATGTTGACACGATAAGTTACAACAAATATTTGAAACCTTCTCCGAGACATAAACAAAGTAGATGAAAGTTATTACAAAAGGAATGCAATCTTTAAAGTAATCGAAAAAAGTTTTATCAAAATCAAATTTTATCAACTCAATACACCGATTTGTCTTCTGACGGAATTTAAAGTTTCCTTTGTTAAAAAAACTCAATAAATTTCGTTCATTTAATTTATTTATTTTTCTCTTTTTTGTTGATTAGACAATATGAGGTAGACAAGCTTCCTTGTACAATTCATTCCAGAACAACATTCGTTCTTTGTCTGCATACTTCCCCATCGCCATGTTGTCTTCTAACTTGAGATATTCTTTACCATGGGCTGTGTATGGTTGCCACGTAACTCCTAAACTGCGGTCAGGGGTGGGATTGCTGTGAAAAACAAATTACACATTTAAAAAAAGGATTTTGACTATTCCTCAACTAGCTATCAAAATAATTCAAATTATACTAATATAATAATTATGATAGTTTAGATGGATGGATGGATGGATGAATGGATGTTTGTTAAAGTTTGTACCTTAAACGACTGATCGGAGTTCTATAAAATTTAGTACAGATGTAGAGGATAGTCTGGAATAACATATACGCTACTCACTTTCGTTTTTTTTTTGAATTCCACACGGACGGAATCGCAGGCGAAACCTAGTAATTTCATAATTAAAAGTAAGTGGATGGATGTTTGTTAGAGTTTTCCGCCTAAACGGCTAAACGGATCTATCAAGACTCATCAGAATGGCACTAGTTGTAGAGCCTAGACTGGAAGAACACGTAGGCTACTCGCTTTTGTTTTTCCACGCGTGCGAAAACTAGTATTTGATAAAGGCTACGAAGATGTAGGAAAATTATTCATTCTTACCCAGATTTAGCAAAATTGGTCCATAGTGTAGTGACTTTAAGTGCCAATTCCCGTAATCTTGCTTGTTCATCGTACGGTTTCTTGTTCAAAAAGTTGTAGAACATATAGAAGAGTTCGTCAGCATGACTTGCACCCTTAAGATTGGCGTATCCTGTGAAATTCTTTATAATATTAAGGTCAGTGTCGTAGTTAAATCTGTACATGTAGACTGGTTGACCACATTCACTATATAAATTAGCAAATCGATGCGTATTGTAAAAGAAATGAATATCGCTTCCGATATTTTCAATGATTACCGGATTGTTTCTCGTCAAATTTCTTCCATTCACATAAAATTGTCTCAGTCTTTCGCCGTATTCTTTTAATTTTGCTTCATTTATATTAGTTGCTAGTTCTTTAGTGATAAAATAAGACGGGTCTCTGTTGTATACATCTAGTTTGTCAGCTAAATAATCTATGAGGACTAAATCCTCCGCGGAATTATAACCAATCATCAGTGGTACTTTAGCTGTGTTGCCGTCTAATATAGTTTTAAGTGGCTCTTCGTTCATAAACGCTTTGACACCTTTAAATTTCTTTTCTATTACTGGAATGAAATAATCAGGTAACCCTCTATATGTTTCATCGAATGTCATAGTTTTTTGTGCAAGGTTTGTTAAAAGAGTTGCATTCAATCCACGTAAATATGCCAATAATTCATCAGAGTTATTAGTATCTATGCCTAGAAGTTTTCCCGCTCTAAAAGCCCTTTCCTTTGCATTCCTATCGATAGCCCAATCATGTATAACAGTGCCACTTTGTGCTATAACCTTGTTGAAAAGACCTTTAGACATTGGTGAGAGCATGTGAAATGTGACCGAACTGGCGCCTGAACTTTCTCCGAATATCGTGATATTGTCAGGATCTCCACCAAATTTAGCAATGTTACTCTTAATCCATTTTAAGGCAGCAGCTTGATCTTTCATTCCACCATTTCCTGGTACTTCTGGTGAGTCTAAACATAGATACCCGAGAAGTTCCAGTCTGTAGTTAATAGTAGCCAAAATAACGTCGTGACGTATTAATAGATCTGGACTGAAAGTTTCCGAGTTTCCTGAGTTGTAACTATAACTGCCACCGTGGATAAATACCATGACTGGTATTTTGGCTTTCGGGTTCAAAGATTTGGTGTAAATATTTACGAAGAGACATTCTTCGCTGCCGACTATCAGTTGGTTAATGGATAGATCGTACTGGGTGCAGATTGGACCGTGTTGTGTTGCATCACGAACACCTTTCCAATGTTTTGGTGGCAACGGTGCCTGGAAAATAATATTAATGAAATTATCATACCAATATTGTAAATGTCAAAGTTTAGATGGATGAATGTATTGACAGATATTAGAATTTGTAGCCTAAACGTCTAAGCGGATTTGGATGAAACTTGTTACAGATGTAGAGGATAGTATGGAAGAACACATAGGCTACCCACTTTTGTTTTTTTTTTTAATCCACGCGGACGGAGTCGCGGGCAAATGCTAGTTAACCAATAATTCGCAATACTTTAATTGAAATGTAATATGATCTATTAAATCGATACCGTGATGTAATATGTGGAAAACTGATGCGGTTTTAAAGATCGAACAGGTCTTGTAATAACGACTGTTTTTTTTTTGATAGTATAGAGATCTTTTAAAGTTTACCCGAAATCTGGCATCGCCTGTAGGTGCGTGTGCATAAGGGATACCCTTAAAACTGTAGTACATAGATCCATCGACGGTTGTAGCCACGGTACCTCTCAATGTACCCTCCCTTACGTGTACGATGGGATTATCCTGAAAAGAAGAGTCTTTATTGTTGATATATGAGCCCAAGGTATGTTTTTATAAACTCAAGTCAAACTGTAATCACTGTTACTTTATTATGCAAATTATTTTTTTGACAGTACATTCACACAAATAATAGAATTATAAATGTGTTTATGAAAAAATATATTATTAAATTACACCGAATTAAAAGAGATTGATTTTACACCATGTGAGACAGTTTAGTAAAATCTACGGAAAGTTTTGTTTTTAGATATTGATTCATAAAACCCAATGACAGGAGGCAAGCCTACGTAATAACATATTACATATTACTTTAAAAAATAAATCAATTAAAATTTTAATCATAAAAACGTAATCTATAAAAAAAAACATTCTTATTAATGGTTTTCAACTTACTTGATTAGCATGATTTACTTTTCTATTCGAACAACATTGTAATATAAAACATACAACAACAATGGTCTTGCAACTCACCATTGTTTTTAAACTTGTTTATGTCGCAGGAGACAGTGCGACTCTGAGCCCAACAGCATATTGAAACGGCTTATATTCGCAATGCTATAAAAAGACGCGCAAAACATGCTAGGGATGGCAACTTAATTTTAAGTAGGATTAAAATTAAATAAAATTTCATAATAGTTTTAATTCCAGATGATTGTGTAATTAAATACTTTTTGTTTAAAAAAAATTAAAATAACAGATCAAAGGTTATTGTAATTTTTTTTTTAGTTTCAGCGTGTGATGGTATGGATAAAGTCAAAAATTACACTATTTGAAGTCTCTAAGAATCTTTAAATTATATTATTATACAAAAGTATAACATGATAGAAAAAGTTCTATCGTGAATCCTAGTTACGCTAATGATGTTCTAAAATGAGTAATAATAGACCTGTGACAATTGTTTATCAACTAATAGCTGCATTTAAACGATACGAAAAGGTAACAAGTTTCTTTTTTTTTATATTTGTAGCGTTTGTTTTTAAGTGGGAATCTACTTGAAAATAATAAGACTTGAAAAATAAAAATTGAGATGCAATCTAAGCATTTATTAAAAAATATTTAGTTTGTTTGGATGTTTTAGTTTATATCTGGATCACGATCAACAGCTGTCATTGATGTATGGAACACCAGCTTCTTTGTACAATTCGTTCCAGAAGTTCATCCTGTCTCCATTAGCATAATTCCCCATTGACATCTTATCTTCGATTTTAAAGAATTCCTTACCACGTCTTGTATATGGCAGCCATTTTGCCCCCAAACTGTCATCAGGTGTCGGATTCCTGAAAAAATAACACGATAAAAATATTGTAATACTTTTTTTTATATACTGATACAAATACATAACTGCTAGTAAGTCGGTTATAATCAGATGTATTTCGCAATATAGCGAAGTTCATTTACCTTTAGGGGCTATTTCTACTTAGCAACTAGTCTCGCAACTCAGATCGCGAGCGGATATATTGTCGCGTCAGTGGAAAAAACAACACGCGACACTATATCTAGCAGCTTAATAGAAATTGGCACTTAGAGTCTAATACATTACGCATAATATTGGCAATATTTAATCATTTATTCTAAGAAATTTTACAAAAACATTACTGTTCTTATCTCAATACTAGAACAAAGAATGTTCGTAGTTCGACCTGACTCAATGTGGTATGACTCAAAAAATAACCAGACGATTCAGGGCTTTCCACTCGTTTTCCTGTTCCCACATCGATATGAGGAAAATCATCTCAATACGCTTTAAGACTCAATTTACAAACATATTTATGTAGATATAACACAGGTATGGCATATGGAACTAAATAAAATGTCTATAGTATATTTTAAGAAGAAACAAAGAATACATTCCACTAGAGATGTGACTTAAGAAAAAAATGATTCACACTTATCGATTCGATAAGAAATTCTGAACTTTAAGGATCAAATAACGCAAAAATTAGCACATAATCTACAGTAAATTAATCAATAAAAAACTAAGAGTGTGTACATTCTTAAATTACGTTAACCTGATTCAAAATAATTTTATTATTAAAACTGTTTTCCTTATCACCAGGGTTTTCTAATTGATTCCAATGTAATTGATTAATTAATGAGCAATCGATTAATTTTCAAGTCAATTAAAGGTCACAGTAAATAATAAATGAAGGTCGAAGACAGGAAAATTATATAACACCAACATGATGATTTTTATAGTTTTATCAACGCTGTACCAACTTACCCTGTTTTAGCAAAATTGGTCCATAAGGAGGTCATTTTAAGAGCTAATTCTCTTAATTTTTCTTGTTCATCATAAGGTTTCTTGTTCAAAAAATTGTAGAACAAATAGAAAAGTTCATCACCGTGACTCGCGCCTTCTAATTGTGCATATCCCGTGAATTTCTTTAGAATATTTAAGTCAGTGTCATAATTGAATCTGTACATGTAAACAGGTTTGACCGCAGCACTGTACAAATGAGCAAAGCGGTGAGTGTTATAAAAGAAATGAATATCGCTTCCAAGACGCTCGATAACTTGTGGATCGTCTCTTGTCAAGTTCTTATTACCCAAATATATTCTTTTGATTCTCTCTCCAAATTCTCTTAGTTTGTCCGCTGATACCTTCTCCGCAATTTCTCTTTGGACGTGATAAGATGGATTATCATTATAAAAATCAAGTTTTGGTAACAAGAATGTTATTAGAGTCAAACCCTCAGCTGAATTGTAACCGATCATGAGAGGTACTTTGTTCACTTTACCTTTAGCTAGAATATTCACAGGTTCTTCGTCAATAAAAGCTGTAACACCTTTAAATTTCTTTTCGACTACTGGTACGAAGTAATCTGGTAATCCTCTTAAAGTCTCCTCTGTAGTCATGGTTTTCTGAGCAAGGTTCGTAAGTAAAGTTGGTTTTAGACTACGTAAGAATTGTAACAGCTCGTTTGTGTCATTGGTCTCTTTACCTAAAAGTTTTCCAGCTCTAAACGCTCTTTCTTTAGCATTTCTGTCGTTTGCCCAATCTTGAATGCAAGTTCCACTTTCAACAATTGCTCGGTGAAATAAGCCTTTAGACATCGGTGAAAGGAGATGTGAGGTAACTGAACTTCCACCAGAACTCTCTCCGAAAAGTGTTATACTATTAGGATCACCCCCAAAATGACCAATGTTAGCTTTTATCCAGCGTAATGCCGCTACTTGGTCTTTCATTCCAGCATTGCCTGGAACTTCGGGAGTATCTAGAGATAAATAACCAAGCAGTTCTAAGCGATAGTTCATCGTGACCAATATAACGTCGTGTCTTAAAAACAAATCGGGGCTGAAAGTTTGAGAATTGCCAGAATTGAAACTGTAGCTACCGCCGTGAATGAATACCATGACTGGAATTTTTGCAGATGGTTTTAGAGATTTAGTATAGATATTCACAAATAAACAGTCTTCACTGCCTTCTACAATTTGCGATATTGATAAGTCGTATTGAGTGCAAACGGGGCCATGTTCGATCGCGTCTCGTATGCCGTCCCATCTTCTTGGTGGTAATGGTGCCTTAAATTGGATAATCATTTTAAATTTCATAGTACAGAATCTGAATAACTATACGTATTTAATTCTAAATCACAAAGAATGTAATAACATCTCTACTCGAAATAATATTAAAGAAAATCACCTGAAACCTCAATTCCCCGAATGGTGCAAGAGCATAAGGCACTCCTTTGAAACTATAATATGATGCACCGTTCAAAAGAGTAGCCACTGTCCCTCTCAACTTACCTTCTTTTACTGTTACAATTGGATTGCTCTGAAAAAGGAAGGTTTAATGTTAACTAAATAATTGTAATACATAAGATAAATAGTAGCTTGTAATAAAACATGTTTCAACACCAGTTTACAACAACAAAACATTGCCCTTAACAATTTCTAATCTCGGTTAGTGTCAAAGTTTCTCTAGTGCAAACGGGTATTCATTTTGAGGTTATGTTCTGTTATTATTATTGCCATAATAAATAAAATCTTACTTCATTTGTATTTTCCTGTTGAGCCAAACATCTCACGGATAAAACACATAAACATACAAGAATCGCCGGTGATTTCATTTTCCTTATCGAATTGCACGACATGATTCTTCTGCGGTCTCAGCCGCAATGCAATGCATGAAGGTTCATGTTTCCTACATATTTACTATTATATGAATCATTAATACGACTAAAATATAGGGTTGCCAGTCTACGATTTAGATTACAAGAGCAGGGGCACACCTTTGACTAAACTATCGCACAACTATTGTACGATTGTCGATTGTTTCGCAGCCAATTCAGCTGTTTAGTTGGACAACTAAAAATCGGGTAGCGCAAATACATATATAAGGAATCAAAGCAAGACTAAACAGTCGTGCGATAGTTTACTTTAAAGTGTGCCATCTCTAAACGTAACATACAAACTGTCTTGCAGTTAATATCACAATTTAAATTATTAAGTGTATCATAACAAAAAGGTGTATAAATAAAACGCTAATTATGGTAAAATAGAAATATAATTCAATAAGATTTTTTTTGTATATCTTAAATTTAATCAGTATTAATAATGTAGGGAAGATTAGCTTCTTTGTAAATCTGATTCCAGAATTTCACTCGGTCCTTCTCCGCGAAATTTCCCATACTTCTATTTCCTTCTAATTTCAAATATTCTTTACCTTCCAGCGTAAATGACTGCCAACTGTTATCAGGTGTCGGATTACTGTAAAGATATATGTTACGGTTAGATGTAATATCTCGTAAAAACATGTCTTATTCTAATAAGGAATTAGAATTTTACGGCAATTAATCACAAAGAAACTGTAAATGTTGCAAATTTTATTGAAAATGTTGGCCCAAAACCTATAGCTAATAGTTTCTTAAGCTTGTTTTCATTTTCTGAAGCAGATTTACTTCAACAATTTTTTTCTCTACCTTTTCAAGTCAATTAATTTAATACTAGAGTTAATTTAAAACTCGATGAACGTAAAATTAATTACACTGTCATGTACAATATTTATCTATGTCCTAAATATGTATAAAATGCTTGATAAGAAATAACAAAGAACAGGTAAAGATAAGGAATAACACTGACACAAAACATAATAACAATGCTATAATAAGCGTAGTTTACGCTATTAACATAAAGAAACAAAACTCACCCGGTTTTAGCGAAATTGGTCCATAATGCGGTTATGTCAAAAACTATTTTTCTTAACCTCTCTTGGTTTTCATAAGCTTTCTTGTTGAAAGAATTGTAGAAGATGTAAAATAGGTCATCAGCATGGCATGCGCCTTTCAAAAAATTATATTTTGAATATATTTTATTTATATTAAGCTCTGTATCGTAATTAAATCTGTACATGTGTATGGGTTGATTGGTTGAACTATATAAGTGAACAAACCTATGCGTGTTATAAATGAAAAATATATCGCTGTTAATCATTTCTATTGTTTGTGGTTCATCTTTTGTTATGTTATTGAGTCCGAAGTAGAAACTTTTTGCTCTGTTACCAAATTCTTTTAAAGATTCTTCAGACACCATCTCTTCTATTTCTTTTGGAATGAACAAAGAAGGATTTTCGTTATAAACCTCAATGTTATTTACCCTATCGTCAACAATTATCAAACCCTCTGCAGAATTATAACCAATCATTAGTGGTACCTTGGTTTCCACCTTTCCTTTTGCGAGCATTTCAACTGGACTTCGATCTAAAAATGCTTCTACACCTTTAAATTTAGTTTCAATTACCGGAACAAACGTTTCTTGCAATCCTCTATATCTCTCGTCGTAAGATAATGTTCTTTCCGTGAGATTGGTTAGCTGTATTGGTTTCAAGCTCCGGAAGAAGTCTAACAATTCTTTGGTGTTTCTTGTATTTTTCCCTAAAACTCTACCGGCTTTAAACGCTCTTTCTTTGGAATCTCTGCCGATTGTCCAATCATGTATCGCGGTTCCGCTTTGAGCAATCACTCTGTGAAACAATCCTTTAGACATAGGAGATAGCATGTGGTAAGTAACAGAACTCGCACCAGAACTTTCTCCAAAGATTGTAATACTATTTGGATTTCCACCGAACTGCTCTATGTTATCCTTTACCCAGCGTAAAGCGAACACTTGGTCTTTCATACCAGCATTACCTGGAACCTCAGGAATATCCAGACATAAAAATCCCAACAACTCTAATCGATAGTTTATCGTCACCAAGATTACATCGTGTTGTATCAAAAAATCTGGATTATAAGTATCGTTATTTCCCGAACCAGAACTGTAGCTACCACCGTGAATGTAGACCATAACTGGGATGTTAGCCTTAGGGTCAATACACTTCGTGTACACATTGACAAATAAACAATCTTCGCTGCCTTCTATAAGATCAGGGTTATCGAATTGTGGGCAAACAGGACCGTGATCAATTGCGTCACGAATTCCTTCCCAAGGTTCGGGAGGAAGTGGAGCCTGAAAGCAATTGAATTAACGTTATACACTTGAGGAGAAAAGTGAATATAATCCATTGTTTGTTTATTTAATAAAAACGGCAAACTTACCTGAAATCTTCGCTCTCCAGTAGGTGCTTTGGCATATGGAATACCTTTAAAACTGTAGTATGTAGATCCATCGATTAGCGTAGCAACTGTACCTCTCAATTTACCTTCTTTTACTGCGACTATAGGATTCATCTACGATGTAAACAATAATACGTTTATTAAGACAGCTGTTAAGAGCACGCGCACGCCATTTACTAAATAATCGCACTTTGATTCCTATGAGCTAATATGCAGATGCGCACACTCTTTTAGTTGTACAACTAAACTGTTGAATGGGCTGCGAAACAATCGACGATCGCACAACAGTTGTGCGGTAGTTTAGTGAAGATGTCTGCCCGCTCTTAATTATTTTTGCATGTTGTATGAAGTTTGGTTTTCATCATAGTAACTGCTCACTACTACTGTATACCAAGATATTGTTAGTTTAGTATTCAAAGACCCTATGGGTATATTAGCTACAATGTTGTCGACTGAGATTGGAATAATTGAATATGATTCTATCACCAAGTCGATTGTTTGTGCAGCGACAAATAGTTCATATCCGGGTCTAGGTGTATTGAATTACGGTGCATCTGATTGACCCTTGTTATTTCTTTTATTGAACATAAGTGACAAACGATCATCGTTATCTTATATATCTTCGTAATAAACATGTTTTTCATATAAATTATTTGTATGGACATCACGGTCTAGATCTAAGACAAAACAGAGACCACAATAAGTATTGTTGCAAAGGTCACGACAGTGGAATTCTACGTTCGATTACGAATAAGCACTTAGATGATTTAGAGTGGGCAAATAATAAATTTTAAAGGTTAACTTCGAGACCACTATCGCAACCGTGCCACAAAACAGTAATCGTCGCTTTGTAAAGAAGCTCCTACCCGAAACACGTAGCAATATCTTTCATCATACTAAAAAAACTAAACAAAATTATAAAAATCACGTAATCTAATGTACATATTGCATACAAATATTCGTATGTAAAGACATTGATTTTAAACAATTTTATTGCTATCTGTAAAAAAATTATAAACAAGAGATTATGTCATTAAATTATTTTGGTCAAAAGGTCATCGCCTTTTCACTCAGACGTTAAGTCCATTGCATTTTTATATTAAAAAAAAAATAAAATTTAACTCACATTCCCACACTTATTTGGTTGCGTATCACACTCGCAATTTTGTAACATAATCAGAATAAACAGAAACTTTACCAAAACAACACAAATCATTTTTAAAACTTAGATCGAATTAAACGTAACGTATGTCTTAACGCGAAACGTTTGTGACTGTGTTTGAGTGTTGCAAATGCTAACAACTTCACTATTTCTCAGAGTACAGATAAAAAATATTTATATTACCTAGTAATAATGGACATTAATAGATCTAAAACTGAAAATTAAAGTTTGGTTTTCTAGCATTATTGATTATTATTTGAGTGATTTTAAATTAATGTTTCGAGAGTTTACCATAGACTATTAAAGAAATTTTTTGTCTGTCACAAATATTACATCATTTGGCGGGAAAAATCTTTGACAAACATATTGCGGTTACGGTGATCAGTGATCAGTCATGAGTAATTTAGCTGGAAATAATATGAATGCAAAGGGCCTGTCCCACCAGTAAATTTGTAAATTGTCTGAAAACAATCTAACGTATAAAATATCAGATTTTGCTTAATTATCTGACCGTGACGTCATTTTAATCCTTTATCATCCATAAATAACCCAATAAAATGAGTATTGTAAAATGTGTGGCATCGTATAAGGCATTTTTTATTATTTTTCAGCTCTTATGTTTTACCAGTTTTATTAACAAACGTGTGAATTTATTTAAGATTTCTTAATCCATTATTGTTTTAACATGCGAATAAACATGAAGAATTATAGTAATTAACATAAAGACACGATTATAGTTTATTGCTCTGATCATATTGTTTCAATCTTTTTAACTGCTCAAGTCATCTGCCATATGAGTGCGGTGCATTGCCCTCTCACATTCATTTTCACCCCACTTCACTTAAAATTGTGTTCTAAGTTGCGACTTGCACTATGTTCTGAACCGCCAACAAGTTTGAAAATATACAATACTAAGTTAATTAACTTAATGTGTAATGTATTAAAAATACATTACACATTAAGTAAATGCTATAATATTAGAACATAAATAAGCAATTTGTATTTTAATTTCAATGGCTGTAAAAATATAAACTTAGTTATTACTTTTTACTAACATAATTCCACTTTAAAAGTGTTTGACATAATTATCTAGTTCAAAGATGTTTTAAAATGAAAAAGAAGTTATATTTCTGTTTAATAGCGGACTGTATTTCTGATTTTTTTTTAATTAATTTCAACAAAGTACATTTTCATACAAAAATCTTGGATCGGTTGATAAATAAATTTGGCTTTGTGGTTTGATGATGTATTGAAAATATGCAAATAGATACAACGCTAAACAAGGTAATTAAAATAGTGTTGCTGTGGCAGCTCGGAGTGCGGCTAATTGCAGCGGGGTATAAGGGCGCGCGGGGGACGGACGAGGTGCGATAGGGTCCCCTTCGCTTCGCGTGACTTCCCCGTTAAGGTACAGAAGCACTGAACAATTTCTAAGTATTTCTCTTTAATAATTAGCAATCCGCGATGTGAGGAAGACCAGCTTCTTTATACAGGCTGTTCCAAAATTTCACTCGTTCCATTTCAGCGAAAGTATCCATTGAAGGCCTTTCTTTGAGATTAAGGTATTCTTTACCGGTCTTAGTGTATCTTTGCCATGTAAACTCTTGAGATTTATCTGGCGTCGGATTCCTGTAATATCATTACAAAAACAATTGATTATATTTTAATAAAGGTTACGTCATCAATAAAAAATAACGAGAATTAATATTGATACAAAGCTAGATGCAGAAGTAAATAATGACGGAATAATTGGGAGATTCAGATTATGATGGTTATCTTTTAAAAAGAACATATAAATTTACCCAGTCTTAGCAAAATCAGTCCATAGTTTTGTAACCATAAATATGATGTCTCTTAATCTTTCTTGTTTTTCATAAATAGGCTTGTTCATTTCGTTATTGAACAAATAAAATATCTCATCGATATGACTAGCTCCGTTATAGTTACTGAATCCTAATATTTTCTTGTGTATATTCAAATCTGTTATGCAATTAAATCTATAAGAATAAATGGATTCCGAAAAATTTGAATAAAAATGTAAAAACCTGTGATAATTGTATATGAAATAGAGATCTGAATGTAAAATCATCACTTCATCAACATTACACTCTGTCATTCTATCTCCAGCATAAAACTTTTGTATCCTGTATCCGAAATCTACCAGTTTCTCTTCTGTTACACAGTTAGCTATTTCTCGTGGAACATAAAAAGACAAATTATCTTTCGTAAATTCAAGTCTTTTTAATTCATACTTAGTCATTATTAGTCCTTCAGCTGAATTGTAACCAGCTAACAAAGGTACTTTAGCTGTTTGTCCAGACATCAATAATTCTAAAGGTTCCTTAATAAGAAATGGTTCTACGTGATCAAATTCTTTCTCAACAACTGGAGCGAAATGACATGGAAATCCACGACATTTCTCATCTTTGGTCATTGATTTAAAAGTAAGTTTGACTAAATTGTCAACAGGAACATTTTGGAATAAATCTGTCAATTTACTAACATCATTGTTATGAATTCCTAAGTATTTTGCGGCTCTCATTGCCCTATCCTTACCGTATTTACCCTGTGCCCAATCGCTTATGCATACTCCACTTTGTGCTATTACTTTATGGAATAAACCATTTGACATTGAGGAAAGGAGGTGATAAGTAACCGATGTACCTCCGGCGCTTTCACCAAATATAGTCACATTATTTGGATCGCCACCGAATTTTTCAATGTTTTCTTGAACCCAACGTAAAGCGGCAACTTGATCCTTCATGCCAGCATTCCCAGGAATCTCTGGAGTATCTAGACATAAAAACCCAAGCGCTTCTAATCTATAATTAAAAGTAACCAGTGTTATGTCATGTTGTAAAAGAAACTCCGGTCCATGGATGTCATCATTTCCTGATCCATACAAATACGCTCCTCCATGGATGTATACCATGACAGGTACTTTAGCGTTCCGTTCCAAGGTTTTCGTGTAGACATTTAAATATAGACAATCTTCGTTTTTTAGGTTACATTGTCCTACGTATGGTTCAACTTGAGGACAAATCGGTCCATGTTCGAAGGCGTCTCGTGTGCCTTGCCACGGTTCTGGGGGAAGAGGCGCCTGAAATCAGATACTTTAAGTTGACAGTGCTAGAGCCCGCTTTAACATCTTCATACGATTGAGCCGGCTCGTCTGGTCTAATAGTACGACCACACAGAAGACAGGCGTGAAGTGGGAGCAATTCCGCGTTTCGTCTGATGAGTGTGGTGCCGGAGGCCTAATTTTAGTCCCTTTCCCTTTCCCTTTCCACTTTTTTCTTAAGAGGAAGGGATGGGAAGAAAAAGATGTGTCGGTGGAGGAGACGCATCTGCAATTGCAGATGTTTATGCAGCAGTCTCTTCGCCATTTCGGCGAATTTAGGTGGCCGCTTGCTCATTTACCACCTTATAATATAAATATGTCTATATAAAACTTTATGAATTAGTGTTGACTTTTATACTACTTTTGAAAATGTAATAAATTGCTAGTATAACCTTGAATCTAAGTTTCCCGACAGGAGGACTAGCATATGGTATTCCTTTGAAGCTATAATATGTAGTTCCGTTACGCAATTTTTTTTCCAAGCCTCTTAATTTCCCTTGTCTTAATTGTAATGCAACATTTTTCTGTAAATAAAATAATACATACAAATAAGCATTAAAATTTAATATGTGATGTCATTACACTTTTGTAATTAAAAAATAACATACCAATTGCTCTGCATTAGTGGAAAAATACTTAATGCCCTTGTTAAAACACATCACTTTGTAATTACGTAGAAACATAATTTTTCGTGTTCACGGAACACTGACCGCACAATTACTGAGTTAGAATGATCTTGCCTTTCTTATATAACATTGTGCTAGTCATAAATGACCCTTTTGAAACTAAAAAAATTCGTATGAGATACATCGATTCTCTTCACGCTTAACAACGCAGAAATCATATAGACGTCAACGTTTTGGATTCTTTATACCCAAGGTAAATAAAAACAAATCTTTTTAAAACACGAATAATTTATTTTATTTACAAAATTACAAAATAACATTCTCTAGATCATTTTATTATAACTTAATATTAAATATGGATAATTATCTCACTAGATATGGTCACATCAGGGTTTGTACAGGTTTTAGTAAATAAACCGTTGACTTAAGGCCGAATACTGGAACGAAGTTTAAACACTTCGTAAGCGACGCTTGTAATCTAACAGTTATTTTAATGGCAATTATTTAAGACGCTTTATATTTAATGTCGTTTCAGTAATCGGCCGATAATGTCATAGCACAAGAGCGTAGTCAGGAACTGATCTTTTTTTTAATAGAAATCAAGGACATTTAATAAACAAAATTACGCCATTACTAAACAATTTGAGAAGAAAAATATTGCTTAAAAATGACTCTTCTACGTGAATTATTAAAGCACACCTTTGATTAAACTGTCGGACAACAGTTTTGTCTCGCTTTGATTCCTATGAGATTATATGGAGGTGCACTACTCGATTTTTAGTTGTGCAACTAAACAATCGCACAATTGTTGTACGATAGTTTAGTCAAGAGTGTGCCCGCTCTTAATATGATATCAAAAAGATATTGCACAATATATTACAAAAATAAACAATAACAGTGACATTAAAGTAATTTTCCACGAAATAGAACTTTTTTACGTAAATTTAACTAATTATCTTATTTTAATTATTGACGTAAAGCAGATAGAAATAAAAAGATTAGCATTATTTAAATAAACGAATAATTTATGGTCGTTCCTTAGTCTTGAATATTATTTTTATACGTCAATCGATTCACACTTAACTTCTAACGTAGGTTCTTTGTCACTAAAAATCTCATATATTTTTCTCTGAATAATTTCAGTACATTTTGTTTAATCATCACATGGGATATCGAATTAAGGGTTAACAGTCAATTATCGATATTGCCATTTTTAAGTATTGTCTCTTGAATGTTTAAGTACGTGGTATTAAATAGAATAAAGTGGTTCCGCATACAGTCGCGAGGGCGCGGACTCGTGGCTTGCAGCTTCTCTTGCACTCAGCAACCCGTTGCGAGCTCGTTTCTTGGCTGTGCAATAGTAATCAATTAAGTATCTATACTAATAAAGACGAAAGATTTGTTTTTTTTTTTTTAATGTTTTGAAATAAGTATAACACTGGTCCAATTTTCAAAAATTCTTTCACCATTAAAAAGCTGCGTTATCCGTGTTTTTTATTATTTTTTTAATTAGACGCGGGCGAAGTCGCAACCAGCAAATTATTATATTAAGTACTAGCTGTTCCCGTGCGGCCTCCGCATGAAATTGTGAAAATTTTATTTCATTGTTTACATGTGTCAAATTATCAATAGCAAATGTTAAAATGACATGACATGATGACAAAGCACTGCAATCTTGCTTCCTTTGGTCCCTTTCCGACATTAGAATCAAGAAATGTGTGGGGGAAAGGGGTGTAAAATGATTTAGACATTTCCTATTACATTAGAAGAAATGTGTGCGGGGAAAGGGGTGTAAAATAAGTTATACATTTCCTTGCTATCCCTTAGAAGAATGAGGGGGTAGGGGTGTAAGAAAGTGTATATGTGAACCTGCGGAGTGCATGAGGCAGAGCGCGAGGGCGGCGAGCAGCGCGGCCAGCAGCAGCAGCGCGGCGAGCGCCAGCAGCGCGGCCTGCGCGGGCGAGTGGTGCGCGCGCGCGGCGCCGCACTGCGTGATGTTGCGCACGTCGTGCGCCGCCAGCACGCGCTGCAGCGCGCCGCCCAGCCGCCGCATCGCCGCCTTCATCGCCGCGGGCGACAGCGCCTCGCCGGACGACGCGCGGAATTGGAAACACGGCCTGGGGAAATATATCAACACAATTACACTACTTACTTACTTCTCCCTCAAAGTCTAAATTAGCCCAGCAATTGCGGAGAGTAATCGGAATAAAAGGCGCTTGCGGAAAGACTGACAAAATGTCGTTCTGTTTGTCCTGTTTTCACGATCAGTAACGCATATTGTGACTTTTTAATTTACATATAGACACTGCAATATAATAATATAAAAATACACGATCGCTACATCTGCGAAAAAATACCTCAAGAGTTGTAAATGTTTTGGTTGGATCAGGTCATATTTCGAGGAAATTTTCAACCGCAAACGAATCGTTACTCGCTAGGAAGAGAACTCTTTCATCTATACTAATATTATAAAGATGGAAAGATTTGTATGGCCTTTATTATTCACACATAAATTCCCTTTCTAACAGTAAAAGAATTTTTAAAACCGGCCCAATAGTTTTTGAATTTTATCAATACATACTAAAATACAATTTTTCTTCTTTATAATATTAGCATAGATATATTATAGAGTACAAGCTTTGGCCCGCGACTCCTTCTTTATGGCATTAAAAAACAAAAGTAAGTAGTCTATGTGTTCTTCCAGACTATCCTCTACATCTATACCAAATTCCATCGAAATCCATTGAGCCATTTAGGATACAAACTCTTACAAACATTCATCCATCTAAACTTTCGCATTTATATTATTAAGTATGATAGTACGATGTCATTCCAGCGATATTTGTTTACTAAATGTATCTCACCCAGCGTTATCATAGAAGGTGGAGTGCGGGGCGTCGTGCATGTGCAGGCGCAGCTGGGAGGCCTGCAGCAGCGCGGCCAGCTCCGCGCGCAGCGCCGGCAGCGCGCCGCGCCGCGACACCACCAGCCGCAGCAGGTCGCGCTCCCGCACCACCACCACCTGGATACCAACCATTCATTGCTTTTTTTATAACAAGGTGGCAAACGAGCAAGCGGTCACCTGAAAACGCCAAAATGGCGAAGCGACCGCTGTCCATAGACATCCGCAATTGCAGATGCGTTGCCTACCATTATACAACGGAGGAGGAGACGCACATAAAGAGGACATTTCCCTTTCCTATGCACTTCATCCACCGTCAAATCCACTTCCCCTTCCCAACCTCTCCTTATAAGAAAAGGGTGGTAAAGAGAAAGGGACTTAAATTGGGCCTCCGGCACCACACTCATCAGACGAAACACGGAATTCCTTCCATTTCACGCCTGTCCTCTGTGTGGTCGTGGTATTACACCGGGGGTGCCGGCTCATTGGTGCTAAGATGTTAAAGAGGGCACTACCACTGATGCTTACAACCAGGCTTTTTAACATAAAATAAAAGTGTGTCAAATTAACAGTGGTAGAGTTCACTTTAATATCTTCGCTCAAATGGGCCAGCTCGCTCGGTGTATACCACGACCACACAGAAGACAGGTGTCAAGTGGAAGCAATTCCGCGTAGGCTAATGAGTGTGACGAAGGCCTAATTTAGTCCCTATCATTTACACCCTTTTCTTATAAAGAAAGAATGGGATGGGAAAGTGGATTTGACGGTGGAGATGTAGGAAGAGGAAATATATTTTTTTGCGTCTAAAATTTTTTTAATTATTAGTGGATTTTTGTTAATTTACTAATATTTCTTAACCTATCCCCAACTAAGGTCTAGGCTAATGCTAGGAATGGTTTGCAAGTTAGCAGGATTCGAACCCTCGACCACGTGGTCGGGAATCCATACCCCAAACCATTAGGCTATTGTCGCTTTAAAATGTTAGTGTAAACTTTAGTTTGATTAAAAAATCTCACCTCAACCAACAAATCACTAAATCGTTCAGCATCAAGCGAATTGTTGGCACGTATCACCAATCTGTGAAAAAATAAAAGATGTTAGATTCTTTTTAATACCCAAGTAATATTAAATTGAGATTAGAGTGTCATTGGCTCAGTGGTTTAAGCACTTGACTTGTAACCTACAGGTCTTGGGTTCGAATCCCGCCGTGTACTGATTTTCGATTTTTCGAATTTTTATATGTACATAATTTACCCGACGTTCTTACGGTGAAGGAAAACATCGTGATGCCTGCACATATCGGCGAAGAAATTCAAAGATATGTGTGAAGTCAACCAACCCGCACTTGGCCAGCGTGGTTGACTATGGCCTACTCACCCCTTATTAGGGTAGGCTCCGAGCCCCTCGGTGGGGACGTATAGTGAGCTGGTGATGATGATGTTACGGAGACGTAAAACATCGTAATGCAACCTGCACTTATTGGCGAAGAAATTCAAAGATATGTATGAAGTTGACTATGGCCTAGTCACCCTAACTTAGGGTGGCCTCCGAGCCCCTCAGTGAGGACGTATAGTGAGCTGGTGCTGATTAAACTAAATCATATAAAAATCGCAATTATTACTTGAAAATTCCATCAGCATAATGCAGCAAATTCTTCATTATTTTCAATTCTCCTGTTGAATTATTTAGAAGCATAACATCAGTCAAATTGGTTAAAGATTTCGATTTAATCGGTGATTCGAAGCTCATGTTGAGGATTCTATAGTGAATGGGCAAGGCCTCCGGGTCCTTGTCCGCAGCCTGCACGGTCGCTATCTTAGTATCGACGGGCACGTTGAGACGCACACCTATCGTTAGATTCTGACTTTCGAACTCCGGTAAATGGTCGTCTATGTCCAATATTTTTACTAAAACTTGGATTTCCGATGGGTCCTGAAACAAATTATATTATAAATGCAAAAGTATGGATGGATAGATGTATGTGACTGCTTATCTCTCTCTCATAAAATGGCTTAACGGATTTCGTTTAAAATTAGTTAAGTCTAGAATAACGCATAATCTACTACCCTGTTTTCAATTCCGAGCATTCGATGTCACCCGTCAAAGCTAGTCTTACTACTACTAGTTTGGATGGATGGATGTTTGTTAGTTTGTAACTAAAATTGATCTCTATGAAATTTGGCATAGATGTAGACGATAGTCTTGAAGAACACATAGGCCATTCACTTGTGTTTATTTTTTAATTCCACGCGGACGGAGTCCCGGGCGAAAGCTAGTATGATCATAAACGAAAGTGATAAGAAGACAAATTATTGCTAAAAAATCGAAATATAAACATTGATCTTACCAAACGGTTATAGCTTTTATTAAATTCAGGGTAAGTGCCATATTTGAAGCTCTTGATGGTTAGTAATACCCGAGAGGTTGTCTCTCTGTCCAACCTCGCGGCCGCTTTGATTAACGCCTTACTATCGTTGCTCCGCTCCAACTTCAATAAACCCAACTCGTTACCGTCTGTAAAAAATAGAGGAAACTTTTAGGAACAGAGCTTCAGAACAAGAAAATAGATATAATAATATAGTTAATACTTTTAACAGTGGTAGAGTCCGTTTTAATATCTTTGCGCTGAAGGCGGCTCGCAAAACCACCAACTCAAAGAAGACAGACGTCAAGTGGAAGCAATCCTGTGTTTGTCTGATGCCTAACTTTAGTCTCTTTCCACTGTCACCCTTTTATAGTGAGGAATGTATGACAAGGGAAAGTGGACTGGTGGAGGCACATGAGAAGGAGAATTCTCTTTATGTTATTTTATTATGCGTCTTTCCTCCGTATAGATAGATCCTTAATAGTAAGGATAAGCAAAGCATCTTTAATTGCGGATGTCTATGGTCGGTTCGCCTTTTCGACGAATTCGACGTAAAAGAGAAGACTAAATATGACAAAAATTACCTGTAATAGCGTAATCAATGGCTGCATTATCACCGATATCTTCATCTATAGCTTCCAGTTTTCCTATAACAGTACCCAGTGGCACTTCTTCATTTGTCGTCATCAAAATTGGAGGATCATCCTGAAAACCATAAAGAGTACTTCGTTATGATCAGTGACGGCACGGCCTTAAGTGACCTCAAGTACTGAACCATAATAATTTAAATATTAAAAAAATACAACCCTTTATTGGACTAACAAAAGCTATATTTAAGTAGGCAGAGCTTTCTCTTAAATATTATCTTGTGTTTTTTAAAGTAACACTACAAGTTGAAAGATAACTTTTATGTTAAAAGCTATTAAGTGTGTTCACATGTGCGTGCATGTGTGTGCAAATCTATACTCCTATACTTACTTATTACTTATCTATATTAATATAATAAAGCGTAAACACACACTACTTCTTGGCGTTGTCAATCACAGCATTTTATTGAATAATTCTTTGTTAAAAAAAAACTCTTACACTAACGACACGCTTCAAATTTTGCCATTTGAAATGTAGATAAAACAAAGTTTTTCTAATTTCATGCGAATATGCACGGGAACAGTTAGTTTTTTTTTAAACAAGGTGGCAAACAAGCAAGAAGCCACCTAAATCTGCCGAAATGGCAAAGCGATCGCTGCCCATAGACGTCCGCAACTGCAGATGCGCTGCCTACCCTTAATCGACGGAGGAGACGCACATAAAGAGGATATCTCCCCTTCATATGCGTCTCCTCCACCGTCAAATCCACTTTCCCATTCAATCCTTTCCTTATAAGAGTGGAACGGGAAAGGGACTAAAATCGGTCCGGCACTAAACTAGACGAAACGCGGAATTGCTTCCACTTCACGGCTGTCTTCTATGTGGTCGTGGTATTACACCGGGCGAGCCGACCCATTCGTGCTAAGATGTTAAAGCGGGCTTTACCACTGTACTTCTAAATCGTATAACATAGCACATAGTCTGTAAGAAGACAGGCTAGGTAAGTGTTAAGGCGAAGCGTCACCACTGACCAGTGTGCGCGCGAAGTGCGGCTTGTGGTCGTCGATGTCGCGGACGTGGAGTGTGACGATGCGGCTGGCCTGCTGCGGCGGCGCGCCGCGGTCCGCCACCGCCAGCACCAGCGTGTACTCGCTCTGCCGCTCCCGGTCCAGCGACTGCTGCGTCGTGATCATACCGCTCTGAGGATCTGGAAGGATGAAGAAATTTATTTTTTTTTTCTATTATTTTTCAATTTATTGTTTACTAACTGTTTCTAACACTAATGAATAGTTAAAATATACGCTTAACATATCTTTTTAATGGTGCAAGAACTTTTGTAATCGGTCCAGTTTTTGAGTTTTTTCAATACTTACAAAAATACAAATTTTTATAAAATTAGTATACATTTATTTTTGTATGTATTGAAATAACTCAAAAATTACCGGGCCGATTTTAAAAAATATTTCACCAAGCTACGTTATCAGTGACTAATATAGTCTGCGTTTTTCATTTTTTTTAATTTCACGGAGACGAAGTCTCGAATAGGTGATGTTTAGATATTTACCAATAGCAAATGCTTTAGCGTCGGCATTATTCTGTTGTATTGAATACACGAGCTGTCCGGACGGCTGCGTGGGGTCGTCAGGATCCGTTGCAACTACTTGAAACACTACAGAACCGATAGTCGCGTTCTGTAAAATACAATCACAATAAAAAAAGGATAATAAAGAACATTGCAGATCCCGGCCTTTAAGAGAGGAGTATGCTCTTTTCTTGAAAGCTCCTAAGTAACTATTTAGAAATTCCTCTAAGGACAGAATATTCCACAACTGTTACAGACATAATTGTAACCGTTACTTATACTAGGTAATTATTATTTTTTTGTCTATCTGTCTGTCTATCTGTCCGCAAGCCGCGTTTGTTCCGGGTAATCTCTGTAACGGCTGGGTCGCTTCGACCGGACTTTCCCCGAAGGGTAGCTGACATAGACGGGCTACTTTTTTATCTTAATATTGCGTGGACAAGGTCACGGGCAAAAGCTAGTAAAGTAAAGGCGTCAAAAACATATTTTGAAAAAAAAAAAGATATAGTTGACTTCACTCGAGACATCTCACTAGCGCTATCTATTGATAGATCCTCGAAACTACAAGCCGATATTACCTCAGCAATATGTAGGGTGTCCGTGTCGGCGGGGCGCAGGAAGCGCGGCACGCCGTCGTTGGCGCTGACGTCACCCACGTACAGCGTGAGCTCCGTCACCGCGGAGTGCCCGCCGCGGTCTGCCGCGCGCACCGCCAGCGAGTACGGCTGCGTGCGGCCGCGCCCCGTCAGCGCGCGGCTGCGCACCTCGCCAGTCATACTCTCGATTGTAAACAAATCTGCAAACACGTGTCGCATCAACTAGCTGTTGCTCGCGACTTTAACCGCGTCAAAATAAAAATATATACCCATGTTCCATACATAAATTACCTATCTAAAGATGAAAGAATTTTTTTTATATAATTCCGCAATTATAATCATCCGCAATTGCAGATGCGTTGCCTCCTCTTACTTGACGGAGGAGACGCACATAAAAAGGACATTTCCCCTTCCTATGCGTCTCCTCCATCGTCAAATCCACTTTTCCTTACCATCCCTTTCTTTTAAGAAAAGGGTGGAAAGAGTGGAAAGGTTTTTAAGTTATAATACATACAAAAATACAAATCTTTCCTCTTTATAATATTAGTATACGAACTTTTGCCGCGACTCCGCGTAGAATTAAAAAAAAAGTGGGGGCTATGTGTTCTTTCAGACTAAGACTAAGACTGTAAACTGAGTTGAATTAGTCGTGTTCTTCTCGCGAAAATAATGTCTATGATAAAAACTCACATAAATTTTTAATTAGTTCACTTTAACTAGTTTCTTTTTCTTATTATACCTTCGTTAGCACCACCCCTTATAAGTTATTTGTAGGAACTATCTAATTAGTTATGTGAAACACGGAGTTCGTGGCGTTTGACCAAATTCCTGATCATCGCAGATTTCCGCGATTGTATTTATTATTGATTGAATTAAATCAATTTACCTTTAGCTTCTCCTTCGTCCAGAAACTCGTAGTGAACTTCTCCGCCGAGGCCCTCGTCAGGATCAGTAGCAGTTACGTTAATCACGCTAAAGCCGGGCGGGACGTTTTCCGGCACAACAGCTGGAATAAAGAAATTTAAAGTAACCTTAAAACTTGCAAGTTTTAGATTCGAATACTTTAATCTTAAAAAAATAGGACTATTTTACAAATCCCTTATATCATTATTGTACTATAACACAGCTAGTTGTCGATATTTTTCTTACTAATGTTATAAATGCAAATGTTTAATTTGATAAAAAAAATTAAAATATAGCCTATACCACTGTGATAAAGTAGCTTTTTAATAGTGAAAGAATTTTTAAAATCGGTCCAGTAGTTTTTGAGTTATTTTAATACATCCAAAAATCTAAAAATACAAATAATTCCTCTTTATAGTATTAGTATGGATACAGATACAGATACAGATACAGATACAGATACAGATACAGATACAGATACAGATACAGATACAGATACAGATACAGATACAGATACAAATACAGATACAGATACAGATACAGATACAGATACAGGTACAAATACAAATACAGATATAGATACAAATAGTAAGAAATATTGGAATATTCACCGGTATAGAGATTTCTGTCAAAGCTGGGCGGGTTGTCGTCGACGTCGAGTACATCCACGAGCACGGGCACGGTCGTCTTGAGCTGGTCTGCGCCCCCGAGCGGCGTGTCCAGCGCCACCAGCTCCAACCGCAGCACTGACTGACGCTCCCGGTCCAAAGTTTTGTTCGGTGCCACCTGAATTTAAGATATTACTAGTGTAAATGCTATGCACAAATTGTTATTTTTTTATACAATAACGTCGCAAACAAGTCATTATGACAAAGCGACTGCCGCCCTTAAACATCCGCAATTGCAGAAGCGTTGGCTACACTTAATTGACAGAGAAGACGCACATAAAGATATTTCCCTTTCCTATGCGTCTCACCCACCGTCAAATGCACTTTCCCATCCCATCCTTTCTTTATAAGAAAAGGATAGAAAGTGAAAGGGACTAAAAGTGTGCCAGCATACTCATCAGACTGTACGCGGAATTACTTTCACTTCACGTCTGTCTCCTGTGTGAATGTTAAAGTGGGCACTACCACTGATATTGTTTTACACTGACTATAATTGTTACACTTGTGGGTCTAAGAAGTAAATAGTTTATTGAGCTATTAAAAACAAACTCACCTGTATTACTCCTGTTACATTATCAATGACGAATAAATCATAATTATCTCCTCTCAAGAGATATCTAACATCAGAATAACCCTTCCGCCGATCCTCGTCAGTCAGCACTAAGTCAGCGTCGTTGGCTTTAACAATAATTAACTGTTCCGGGTACGTTACTGATTCAAGAACGCTCATTTTGTATAGCTGGAAATTTAGTTTAAAAATTGTTCATGTACATGATATTGAAGCAATTTTAGGAGCAGGCGCACATCTTGGACTAAACTATCGCACAACTGTGGTGCGATTTTCGATTGTTTCACAACCTTAACTGTTTAGTTGCACAACTACAAATCGAGTAGTGTGCACCTCCATATAAGCTCACAGGATTCAAACAAGACTAAACAGTTGTGCGATAGTTTAGTCAAAGGTGTGCACGCTTTTATAGGTCACTAGCTTTCGCCCGCGACTCCGTCTGAATGGAATTAAAAAAAAGTGAGTAGCCTGTGTTCTTCCAGACTATCCTCAACATCTATACCAAATTTCATCGAAATCCATTCAGCCGTTAAGGCTACACACTCTAACAAACATCCATCCATCTAAACTTCCGCATATTAGTAAGATGTAAATAATTTTGCTAAAAGTTAAAATCATCTTACCTCCTTTTCAAATATAGGGGGATTATCATTAATGTTAACAACTTCGATAATAATTTTAGCATTACTGTGTTTGCTTCCATCATTACTGGTCGCTTGTACAGTGAGCGTTAAATTTGGTGACGTCAGTTCCTCATAATCCAAATGCCTAGTTAAAACTACTTGTCCACTCAACGGGTCTACTTGCAACAACCCAGTTTCAGAATTAATCACTTTAAAATTGGAAATCAAATGTCCTGATACAGGATCTTCTGCCATTAGAATTAAAACTGTACTTCCTATTGGTTGGTCTTCTTTAACTTTGTGATATATCACAGGTTTAGAATTAGTCCAACCTGGGTTAGTAAATTGTGGATTCTTATCATTATAAGGTTGTATATATATTGTGTGTTCAGTTAAAGCGAACTGCTTTTCTTTATTGACCTCCGCATTCATGTCTGTTACTTTAATTGTTAATATTACTATTGATGCTTGATTATAATCTAATGTACCATTGACAAAAATCTCTCCAGAATCTTCATCAATACTAAAGGTAGTTTTGTAATTATACGGTGAATTAGATTTTAATTGGATGCCTGCTTTAGATAACGCTTTAATAGGTTCTACGATGCTGTATTTTAATTTAGCATCCAAATCGGTATCGTATGCGTTGATTGTAGTCACTTTGTCGCCTATTTTAGTTCTTTCTGATATGTATGTTGTTGTTTGTGTGGAGTTGATTACAGGTGGCTTGTCATTAACATCTTGGATTGTGACGAATACAGTCGTGGTAGCGGTTTCTGGGATAGGTGTTCCGCTGTCTACTGCTGAGACAATAATTTCGTATCGTTCTGGATTTAAATCTCTATCGAGATTTGCATCATTCGATATTGTTATAACACCAGTCCTAAAAATATATAACGTCTTAACAAAAACATTTCAAACCTTTATTCGACGGAGTTTTTGTAGTAAAACTGTTTTTTTAAGTAGTCATATTTTTTGGTTATGAAATATGAATGTGATATTAATGGGATAGATTTTTTAAATTAGTTGTTCATCACATTGGACAATATTGAAATAAGAGTTGAGAGAAATGGTTTGTTTTCGATGTTTGATTCATAACAAACTAGTTTTCGCCCGCGATTTCGTTTGCGTGGAATTTAAAAAAAAACTAAGTAGCCTTTGTGTTCATCCAGACTATCCCCTACATCTATACCAAATTTCATCGAAATCCGTTAAGCCGTGTAGGCTACAAACTCTAACAAACATCCATCCATCTAAACTTTCGCATTTATAATATTGGTATGAAGTATGATAAAGGTACTTACTTCTCATCAATTACAAAATTGTCCTTCGAACCGGAAACAATATGGTAGGTCAGTAAATCGTCTAAACCGTCGGGATCATTTGCTAATACCGTGGTCACTTTGTGTCCCGGAGGAGAGTTTTCTTTCACAGAAGCCTGATAGTTCATAGGATTTAGTTCAAGGGATAATTCCTCAGAGGCGGTAGGATGGTGGCCCGCGGTGTAATGGTAGTGATGGTAATTGCCTTTGAAAGTTGGCCGTTGGTTTCCGGGGACCCCGACTCGGATGTACACCCGAGTATCGTTGGATAAATGTGGTACACCTGTAAATTTTTAGTTTTTTACGTCTTTAGTATTTTTAACAAGAAATAATATATTCTAATAACAAAAAGTTAACACACAACTACTTCGTGACGTAAGAAGTCAGCAATCACAGTATCTTTTTGAATAACTCTTTTCTTAATATTAAGCCCTATACCGACACGTTTTAGCTATTTTCACGCTATTACACTTAGGAAGTAAATAATTTGGAAAAACTGTCATGCGGGAACGGGACAAAAACAACAAGCTAACAACATCAAGGAAGCAGTTATCTTGGTTAGGGTAACTGTTATCCAATGTTAAAGGTCACCCTTGTATTTGTGCATAGAAATTTTGACATTTGTAATTAAAATTTTTACAAAAGTTAATGATAATTTTTTTAAATAATTTAATGCGGATGAAACCGAGCGGAAACAGCTCGTATTAGATAAAACCAGTTCATACCATAATCAGTAGCTCTAACGACTAACTCGTATTGTCCTCGAGGTGTATCCATAGTCTGAACCTTGTCCAATATAGTTATCTCCCCGGAGTCCTCGTCGATTGCGAACACTTGCCCTTTGTGTGCAATACTGTTGTCAGACACCAGAGAATAACGCACGCGACCGCCGCCTTGTGTTGGCCCGTCGGCGTCTGTCGCCTGGAATAAACATGCGGTGCAATAAAATAAATAAACTAACATGAATTCTAATAAAATCACTGATACACTATTCCTTACCCTAACAACGAATTGTGGTTCAAAACTCGTTGCTCCATCTCTTATCGTTCGACTATATTCCGCGGCTTCAAAAACAGGCGCATTATCGTTAGCATCCAAAACATCAATAAAAACACTAGTACTCGACACCTTGCCTCCACCGTCTTTAGCAACTAGCGTTAGACTGTAACTCTTCTGTGTTTCATAATCAAGAGGACTACCAACAAACAAGCCTCCTTTATTTAAATCAGTTTTAAAATTATTCGAACCGAATCCTGTGAGTGAATATTCAATTTCACCGAAAATTCCATAATCCTTGTCAGTTGCTTGGACATCACCAATTTTTGTGTCTATTGTCGCATTTTCTGTTACTTCAAAATTATAAGTTGTCTGTTCGAAAGACGGTGCATTATCATTAACATCTAGTAGTTTGACGTTAACTCTAGCTGATGATAATTCGATATCACCTGATGATGAAACTATATCGAAACTGAAAAGTCTCTTATCTTCATCATCAACGTCATAATCTAGACGTGTAGTGTCCCTAACTTTTATACTAATAGGTGTCCTTCCTTCGCCATGTTCAGTAGTAATAGAAAATACTCCATGAGAATTGTAAACGTCGCGTAATTTCAAATCGTATTTACTGTTCTGTCCAATATCATCGTCTTCGACGTAAATTGAAAGGCCAGGGATGGGGCTGCCGTTCTCGATATTCTCCGGTATCGAGACATCATAAACATCGCGGTTGAATTTCGGTACATGGTCGTCAACATCGGTTACGATTATCGTAATCGTTGTTACAGTATAATCGGATGGTACTTCATTATTTATTAATTCTGTCGCCTAAAAGAATTAAAATATATTACACACACTTGGGCATATTTATAGAATTTATTTATTTAAATTTGGCTTATCAACATAATTCCATGATACTTAGATTTCTTTCTTGCATTATTAAACCACATACAGATGTCATGTAACTATAAATTTAGTCCAAATGTTACATATTAATCCAAATAAAAATAACGAAAGTATTTTAGTTAAATTAAATAAGAAATTAAGGTTATCAAATAAAAAAAAAACTCCCTACTATACAGGGTTCTTGGTAAAATTGACGCACTCCTGCTGATAGAGGGGCACATTTGCAACAATTTTAGTTATTAATTGCAGTTAAAGTAAAAAAATCCAATTATCAATATTGATGCAACTTACCTTTACTTGAAAACTGTACACTCCTCCGTTTTGCATAACAGCTTCGCTCTCCCGATCGATTGGTACATCAGTAGTGACCAGTGTAGCGCGGCCGACTGGCCTCTCGGGCAACAACTTGAAGTACTGCTGAGTGTCGCCTTCGAGGGTCAATAGAACTGGTCGTGGGTTCGCCGTATCTCCGTCTTTAGCTATTATTTCCATTATAATTGTATTCTAAAAAAAATAATTATGATATTTGTCTGATATAGTACTTTGTAGAGAAAGTATTGGTAAGTCTATATATATTATTTAAATGTTTTTTAAGGTATAAGAAAATGTGGAAAACTAGTGTACAGTTAGGGGATTTCACTAATTCACTAGCTTTTGACCGCGACTCCGTCTGCGTGAAATTAAAAAAGTAACAAAAAATTAAGCCTATGTTATTCAAAAAATTACATTTCTAACGATGAAAGAATTTTTAAAATCGGCCAGTAGTTTTTAGTTAATTTAATACGTACAAAAATACAAATCATTCTTTTTTATCTATAGTAATGTAATAAAGCGGAAAGTTTCGTATTTTTGTATGTATTGAAATAACTCAAAAACCTTTGGACCGATTTAAAAAATTCTTTCACCAATCAGTGTAAATAGGCTGTATTTGTTTTTGTAATTTTTTAATTCCACGTAGACGAAGTCGCGAGCTATATTAGTATAGATATACTTACAGGTGGTGTATTTTCAGGTACTGTAGCGGAGTAGGGCGCATTAACAAAGTCCGGTGGTTGGTCCTGTACATCTCTCACTGCGACCGCAACACTCGCTGTTGTTCGCTTCGACGGTACTCCGCCATCGCGGGCGCTCAGACTTAGTACATACGCCGAACGAGATTCAAAATCCAACGGTCGAGATAAAAATATACGGACCTCGTATTCATTGGAATTCACCTATGAATAAAGAGTGTTAAATAATAATTTTCTTTTTTCTTTTTAAAAGTGCATTTTTATTTTATTTTCTGTATATGTGTGTAATTGGTACGGCCTAAATTCTAATAATTAAGGTATGTGTTAGTGCAAAGGAACCAGCTGAAAATCAACGCAGGAACGGTTTAGTCCCTCCTGCCTATGCTGAGCTGGCTACCTTTAGCCACGATTTTATGTTTTCTAGTGGTTAATATACATTCATTCATTTATTCAAATGTATAGACAAGACATACTGAACATTTTTTTTTTCTATCTGAAAGGTATTATATCAGTTGTCAAGTTTAGTGCCACCTTAATATTATAATCTTTTTTTTTTTTGTTATAATACAAACATTTCAATATATTATTTAAATTAGATAACTGAGTTTTAAATTTATAGGGCGTTGTAGTCGCTTTGCGACAAAGCCTGTATACAAAAATCTATTAGCAATTAGTTTTAATACCAATAGTTTTAAGGATCTATCAATAGATATTACTAGTGAAGTTAATATGAAAAATGTCCCAAGTGAATTGTCAACTATGCCTTCTCTATATTTTTTTAAATCTCTATGCCTGTCAAATATATTTAAAAATAAAAATTGTTGTTTTAAGTTTACAGTCTGAAACATAAATAAACCATTTCCGCATACCATTTCCGTAACAATTTTAAATGTTGCACAAGCCTCAGCATCACTGCCCTTTTCTTCAGTGGAACAGGTGACTTTGATTATTGCATTTTCTCCTTCATCACGATCTGTCACTCGGATTTTCGGAGATACCTAAATAAAGATAGAAAGTTCACTCAGTACTGTTAACTGAATAACACAGTAAGACATCTCTGACTTTTTTTTTATATAATATAAGGTGGCAAACGAGCAAGCGGCCACTTGAATCCACCGAAATGGAGAGCGACCGCTGCCCATAGACATCCGCAATTGCAGATGAGTTGCCTACCATTAATCGACGGAGGAGGAGACGCACATTAAGAGGACATTTCCCCTCCCTATGCGTCTCCTCCACCGTCAAATCCACTTTTCATTCCCATCCTCTCTTCTTAAGAAAAGGGTGGAAAGGAAAAGGGCCTAAAATTAGGCCTCCGGCACCACATTCATCAAACGAAACGCGGAATTGCTTCCACTTCACGTCTGTTTTCTGTGTGGTCGTGATATTGCACCGGGCGAGCCGACATTCTAGCGAAGATGTTAAAGCGGGCTCTACCACTATTAAACTTAACAATCGCACAACTATTGTACGATTGTCAATTGTTTCGCAGCCAATTCAACTGTTTACTCGCACGACTAAAAATCGAGTAGCACCTAAGCTCATAAAAATCAAAGCGCGTAAACAGTTGTGCGATCTTTTAGTCTAAGATGTGCGCTATCCAATCTCAAGTTTTCTCTAACCTCAATCTCCGTACCAACAGGAGTTGCCTCACTAATGTTGACGATGTACGGTCGGTTGTGGAACACTGGGGGATTGTCATTTACATCCCGGACTGGGATTACTCTCCTTAGTGACACTGTGTTTGGCTCCGTGTTCGCTATTCCTTCATCTAAAGGATTAAAATAACTTTTTATAATGTTTGTGTGTTTTAGAATATGCTCTTCTCTTTTATATCAGAATTCTTTATTCAGCTTTGACAATAATCTATACTAATGTTAAAGTTTTTTTTTATAATAACAGGGGGCGAAAATCTCGAGGGATTCAACGACGCACATGGACATCCGCCACACCAGAGGAACTACAGATGCGTTGCCGGTCTTTGAGGAAAAGATGTATGTATTGAAATAACTTAAAAGTTACTGGTCTGATTTCTAAACTATTACAATGGTTTAAAAAAAGCTACGTTATCAATTAATAACATAGGCTTCTTATTATTTTTTTAATTTCACGCGGACGAAATCGCAAGCAACAACTAGCCTATACTAATATAATAATGAGGAAAGATTCGTATTTTTATCTGTATTGAAAAAACTCAAGAGTTACTGGGCTGATTTCTAAATTGCACCATTAAAAAGCTATGTTATCAATAAATAACATAGACTACATGTTTATTTTTTAATTTCCCGCGGACGAAGTAGCAAGCAAAAGCTAGTATTTTATACATTTTCATACCTGTTATACTGATGATGACTTCCAAAGCTGTCTGTTCCTCACGGTCCAGGCTCCTAGCCAGCGTCACCACGCCAGTTAGTGAATCCACGCTGAAGTACTGGCCCGAGATAGAATACGTTAGTTGACCATCTTCGGGGTCCTCGCCTTAAATAAAATCCACTATTGATTTATTTGTTTAAGCGTGAAAATGTTCGCATATTCTCATTGTCATCAACATTGTCTTAACATAAATCTAAGGAAATATTTGTATTTTCGTATGTATTGAAATAACTCAAAAACTACTAGGCCGATTTGCAAAATTCTTTCACCATTAAAAGCTACGTTATCAGTAAGTATTATAGGCTACTTTTCTTAATTTTGCGCAGCCGAAGTCGCGAGCAATAGCTAGTTGGTTAAATTGGCAGTAAAAAGTATTTCCTATTTTATAAATTCATATTTTGAAGTCCATAAATAATTACCTTTTAAACGATAAACCGGTGTCCCAACTGGTGTATCTTCTGGCAGACTGAACTGCGTCATATCCCCAGTCTGGGGTATAAAGTGTGGCGCTCTGTTGATCACTTGCGAGGCGGTGATTTGCAACAGACATGCTAACAGGAGTATCAATAAGGGATTCGGTTCGTTGAGAACTGTCGCTGCTTTTCGCCGCTGGAATATTATTTCTGCCATCTGGAATGATAAATTTGAAATTGTATAGTGTTTGTGTTATTCGTAATTGCTTTCAGAATATTTTAATCGCTATCTTTGATCAAATATCAGTACTATTCTAGACCTTTCACGCGTAAAAAGAAGTCCAATATTAATTTACAGATTATATGAGAAATTCTTTTTTTTTTTAAAGAAGTAGACGATTGGTAAAAGCTCGGTCGTTGACGACTCGAGTCGCTCTCCGTTGTGTGCACTCACCCAGAGGTGCGAGTAGTATTTCACGAGGGGCCGAACTTGTGCCTTATCAGAGAGGAAACTCAGAGATATGTGTGAAGTCAACCAACCCGCAGTGGTCCAGTTTATTTGACTATAGCCTAGTCACCCCTTATATAGGGTAGGCTTTGAGCCTCTCATTGGGGACACAAAGCTGATATAAACTGAATTCGTCCGATATAGTTACAAGAATTTTGATACCAAGTTCTCTGTTCATAAAACTTTTAGGACCAATAACCGTAAGAAAAGCATGCGTGGTCAATTAACACAATTACACAATCCGGTGTAACGAAACGTATCGGAACGAAACGACTCGTATTTCGACCTGAGATCAGAACAATCGCTGTTGGCTTGCAACAGCCGCGTGAACTGGAGTCGACCTCAACGCAATGCAATTGGAACTCTGGGAATTACTGTAATATTTGATTACAAACAGTTTTGTAATGAATAATCATAACAATTTACTTTTTAGCAATAAATTGCCTAAGACTCTTGTTAGCGTTTAAAGTAATATAGGAAACAAGAAAAAGTACGTATTAGTGCGTTAAAGGTGCTTCGACAACAAACATTGTCAAATAATTTTCTTTATTGTCTCTATGTGCATTCTTGTTAGTACCTATTACCTAAATCTTTTGTTTGTGCGGCCAGTCCTATCAATAGTGATACCTAAAATAAGTTTAACTCACTCGTTTCCATAACTATACTCTAAAATAATATTAGAATTATGGGCGTCACAGCCATTTTATCCTTTTATAAAATATAGTCTTCATTACCTCTTATGTTTTCTTCCAATTTGCACAGAACAACCTTACCAATATTGCCGTCGTGTCGACGAGCTAATGCAACACCCTTATTTTTGACATCCGACTACTATCCGATTATTAACATAACAAGCACAATTACGACATTTTAAAACCATGACATAAATATTTTAAATAATGTTTTGGATCACCATTACAAAGTTATATCGTTATTTCAAACTATCACCAATGGCAATGATTTATAGCACAGACTAAATAACCTTCAAGAATACAGAATACATCAAAATAGTTAAAAAGCTAACAGAATCTAATTATGATGCACCATCTCTGATAGGCATCATTAGTCTAATGAATTTACCGCAGTACCATTTCCGTCACCGAGATGTCGCAAACTGTTCTACATTTTATGTCGCAATTGATTTAACAAGAAATGGTACTAACGCTGAATATGGTAAAATGGGTTCTTGCGTCTTTATTTAGCTATATAAATTGAGTAATGCACGCATCCGCAATATTCTTAACAATACGGAAATACTTGTTTTTGTATCAACTAATCGAATCAAAAATTTCTGTATCGACTTAATAAAAACTATTATTGAATAACTTACTTCTTACTAACGTTATAAGTGAGAAAGTTTAGATAGATGGATGGATGGATTTTTATTAGAGTTTGTAGCCTAAACTATTGAACAGATTTCGATTTAATTCGGTTTAGATGTAGAGGTAGTCTGGAAGAACACATAGGCTTCTTACTTTTCATATTGGTATTGATATTTTTAAGGTCGACCGACGAAACACTTTTTTTATCCACAAGGACGGACTCGCGGGCGAGCTAGTAAGCTAGAAAGTATATTTATTGCTAACAACTTGCAACTAATATATCAAAAAGAGCTTGTTTGTTTGTAAAACTCAAATAGTAATTTTTATGATTAGACGTGTATGTATATAAAAGAAACTGCGATACAGAAATCCCGTAACAATTTTTTGCGACATGTTTTCTGATGAAGTGCTAAACGCGATACCTGGACAGAATTATGCAGACGTTACGGTCCAATTGTCCTTGAATAATAACAATATACGTCAACAGTATTGACGTGCGATTTTGAAATGTTGCACAAAATATTGCTGCGCTCTAATAACAATGAAATTGCACGTACATGTTACTGATACATTGTTTTCTTAACATCGAGAGATTTTAGATAGTTACATTAATGAACTATGATATATTGAATTATGAATCTATGTATATTTGTCCGAAATACTTTACTTACTTACGTTACTAGCTTTCGCACGCGACTCCATCCGCGTGGAATTATAATAAAACAAAAGTGATTAGCTTATATGTACTTCTAGACTCTCCTATACATCTTTGCTATTTCATCGAGATATGTTCAGCTACTTAGGCTACAAACTCTAACAATCATCTAAACTTTCGCATTTATAATATTAGTAAGATTGCGACAGTACCAACCTACAAAAAGGGATAAACTAAGAGTATCAATTTTACATCCTCCGACACTTTTTCCTTACGTCAGAGGATAAACTACAGTTGGGGGAAGTCGATGAAAGTCGGTATTCGAATTTTAAAGCTCCACAAAACAAGGCAATTTTTCTTGTATGAAGACCACGGATTTCCGCCACTATACATTTATATACACTCTATTTCACGTACATTATAGTAGGAAGTGTGTAATAAAATTAGATTTTAATGTAATACAAAACGGAAGATATTGATAGTATGATGTTGCGTTCCCATGTCAGTGAACCGCGCACAATGGTGCGTGGGAACAGCCTCACAAACTCACAATACTCTTGGAACACCAGCGTGAAAATATTGCTACGTTAAACATTAACAATGAGACACTGAGACTGGGCGATTGGAAACCGATTCAATTAAAATGAAAAATACCAGCTTAATTTTTGTTTAGTACGTGTGGAGACAACCTAAACCTTGTAATTTCTCATTAAATACTATGAAATGTTAGGTCATCATCATCGTCATCATCTCCCCTGCCTTATTCTACTCCCGTAGGGTCGGCACACCGAGTTTTCGTCCTCCAAAGCACGCTATCATCCGTCATCTCAGTCATCACTCCCTTCTTGATCATGTTAGGTAGATGTTTTTTTTGTGAATTTGGTTTATCTAGAAATACCAACTTTTTTTTTAATAAGTTTTGCAAATAATATCAATGATAAGCAATTAGGGTTACAAGTTAAGGTCAGTAATACAACTGTATCTAGAATCTAGGTCCAAGGTCTTTTGATATATTTAGATTTTTCTTAAACATAAATGTAAAAAATAATAACAATAAAGAGTGACTATGGATGTAGGTATTGTTTTAGGTTAATATTCGACATCTAGATTTGATCTCATTTTAAGTATATTCAGTTTGAGATAATTATCAGAATATTTATTTTATATATTATTTGATCAATAATCTGAAGTTGTACATTTTACATTTAATACATTGAAATAAAATTATCTAAATTTCTTTACCAAAATTATATATTTTAGAAGTTTTAAATAGGACGCATTAATTTGGCCTTGATGACTAACAAAGCTGTTATGCAAAGAAAGTTCCGCATGTAAATATACCTTTGCCTAACCGTTATTAACAGTTATTCTAAAATACGTACCTTATTACCAAAAACGTAAACCCTTTCACTTAATATTTCACACACAAACTATATTCACAAAATACACATATTTATCAAGAAGTACATGTATCGGATTTTTATTTATTTAATTTTCACAAACACATTTTTACCACAAACTCACTCCGCAAAGTTTAAATCGTACTGTCAAAAACTTGCACCACCGGTCTTTGAGACTGGATTTGTATTGCATTTTTCTCGCTCATCGATCTTATGTGCAAACTCTAAGTGTGAAAGTGATAGCATTATAGAAACAGTTACATCTTTAAAGCTTCGCAGATAGCGCCTTTTTGCATTGGTAAAAGTAACGGGGTATTTCTTGAGATGCGTGAGACGAGATGTTGATATGGAGGTCACTGGTGAGAGAAAGGGACGCACATGTTAGGTCGCGGTTTTAAAGGGCGTACAGAGTAGCTGCATTAAGGTCACGGGAACATAGAATATTAATTTTTATATGACACATAGTTTAACAACATTGTGTGTGTTTTTTTTAATTTTACAAGTATCATAAATGTACACCTTTGATGTAACTTAAAACTCTAATTTTAAGTAATTACTACCATATAGTTATACAATAATATTTAATTTCAAATATATCAGACTTTTTTTCTTTCTTGTGTTAACATTCGATACGACCAGTTTAACATATCATATTTTACTATACTTGCATTGCCGGTAGATGTTACTACCTACTTGTGTTAATACTATTTATTTATTTTGAGGCGATTTTTAAAAACATAATTGTATATTTCGATACTTACTCTATATCAAAACAATCACAAGTGTAAGATCAGTGAAATTGCTGACTCGTTTCTTGTTATTGTGCTCGGTTTGGTATTTATTTTTAATAATTAATATATTGATATTAAATAACAAATAACAAAATAAAAATGTCAAGGCGAATTAGAATGTCTACCATACTGTGCTAAGGTATCGGTTTTAATCCCAAGCTTACTAACGCACTTTTACATCATATATCAATGTTTATGATTTTAATGTGCTTAAAAAAATGAAGATGAAACAGTGATTGTCCTTGGTCTTTTTATATTAATAGGAGTTTTGATTTGTTGATAAAAAAGTCTGTTTATTTAAGTTTACCTCAAAATAGAAATGAATTGCTAAAAGTTACAGATAATAATCTATTACTTATTACGAACATAACAAAAATTTTAATACAGACAATTTTAATTAAGCATTCTACGATTTATAAAAATAAGTAAGGTATAATATATAATTCGTGCGCTAAAAAATAAATACTGAGTTATTGCTATTGGTATTGAATAGGCGCTGAAATTGTATTCTTAATTTGCAGAAAGTTTTTAATAATTGATTTTGTTCAGTTAATGAAAAATAATAAAACAGCAATATCAATTTATCCTTTTATTATTTTTAAGTTTATAACAAATTGGGTGTCTATAAAAACCTATTTCGATGATTCGATTTCAAAGTCGTTCGAGATTATGAGATAAAATAATAATAAATAACGATAATCGAACTAAATTTGTCATATTTTCGCTAATATCAAGAAGAATAAAACTCATGAGAATATTTCTGAACAAACTACAAATGAAAACTCATAATTATTAGAGAAAAGTAAGTAATTGTATAAGAAAAATAATGGTAAAGATGATGCTAAGAAGTGATAGAAGTATACGCATAGTATTAAAACTGAAACTTCTCTCAGATGAAGCATAATGGAGAATATTAAACGCTTCTTCTGTCTTCTATGAAATTCTGCTATGATTTAATAAACTACTCCTGAATTGATAAAATTATATAAGTAAAAAAGAGAAATAAATCGGTGGGAGAACGAAATCTTGATAATTTGTAAACATATTTTTAAATATTATTTATTATTTCCGTTGAACTGCCTGGTGCGGTTTCTTTTAATTTCGAAATACACTGGTACGTAAGTCGGAGAACGAACAGTAGTTATAGGTTTTAGTCTGTGCCTCCTATATTTTTCTGAATTTTCTTTCAAAAGTTCGAAGAGTTTTCGAACATTTTGCTCCATATTCCTATAATGACCGTTAATTTGCGGTACATAAGTATTTGTTGTTATTTCTTCAACATCTGAATCATCATAATTATTGCTTTGGCTAGTTGTTGCTTCTAAATTATTTACTAATTTTATAATAAGTGTTTTTGCTTCGGTATTTTGATTTTCGTCGTAGTCAACGCTCTTGTATGTTCTTGTAGCTTCCGTTGTGATTGTTGTATCATAATTTGACATTGTCGTGTACTGATCTGGTACTTTTGCATCCTCTCGACTAAATTTTATTACATTAGGTGGATTAGTTGACCAAACATTTTCAGAATACGTTTCTGTAGTATCAATAATTGGTGTTATAGTTGTTAATTCTGGCTGAATCATTTGCGTCGCCGTCATTGGAATAATGCCTGAACTCCCCGCATGGTAATCTTCTACATGCTTAGCTAGAATTATTGGTATATGTTTAATCGGCTTTATTGTAGTTGTCTCTTTAATTTCTTTCTCCTTAACGTCTTCATCTCTTGTCGCAGTTTCGGTTTGAAAAACATTTACATTAAGTATCATATTAGTACTGCTATTCAAATCTGGTTTACGCTTATTATTAGAGTCGATAGTGTTTACTTCTTTGGGAGGTGGTCTTGGTCTTGTGTACCTGAAATATGTACGTGTAACTGGCCTTGCAGATCTTAATTTAAAGTGTATTATAGGACGTGTAGTTGTGATGTATATTTTATCCAGCATTTTTTGTGTGGTCGAGTAATGAGACTGAGTAAATAAGTCTTGATTTCTGTAACCATGTCTTTTAGTATCTTCGATAGAATTTGACTTTTCAGTTGCTTTATTTTGTTCTTGAGGATTATGGCTACAATTTTCATCGATACGAGGATATGGATAAGTTCCTTTTTTCTCTTCGTTATCATTAAAAACTGCAATGTCTTCTGCTAAAAGATTTACATCGCCTGGGTTGTCAGGTTTAAATGTGAATAAGGGGTCCACTCGATGCCGAGAATGTGTTGGCTTTATCTTTTGCATAACACTATCCGTGGTGTATTTAGTGGTAGCAGGTTCGATATACATTCCAGTAAAAGCGATGTGCGTTTGTGTTGGAATAGTATGCACATCACCGAGTTTCGCGTTTATTGTTTTCCCAAGATACATCATGATATGTTGAAGATTTTTCATCCTTTGAGCATTACGATAACTATCAACCCAGGTCTTTGATCCATAAGTTTTGCCAAAAGGATAGGGTGTAGAAATTTGCTCATAATTAAATGGTCTTGGACTTGTTCTTCGAATCATTTTGTAAGTATTAAAAGGTAAATTTGCTCTCAAAGCTATATCGTGTTTTTTGAATGTATGCACTTTAACAGTTTCTGGAAAAGGTTGTGTGTAAATATTTTCAGCCAATGCATTTACAAGGAGTGGCATTCTTTCATAATAATCTTGATCGAATCCAAAATAGCTTCTATCTAACCTATCAGCTATGGGTCTAAGATTTTTCATAGACTTTTCTCTGTCCGATTTGTTTAGGCTTTTCCTATTTTGTACTAAATTCGTTTCTACAACAATCGCATACTCGTAGATCAGTAGAACTGCCTGAAACAAGATTAAAGATAGTTGTATTCAGGAAATATAACTTTTCATAGATGAACTTGAATCCATTGATTTGCAATAAAAAAAAACTTCTAATATTTAATGTTTATTATAATAACAAAGTTTGCAATAAATATCTGACAGAGCTTAAGTCTTACTATTCAAATAAATTATTTAAATCCAAATTGTAATTGTCATCTTGTTTGTTACTTTTTTGAATATCTAGATATGAACGGGGTTTATTGTATAACGCCATGGATGTAAAGAAGAAATCGTCTTTATCTTTATTGTCCACGGACTTTGGTACAATGTTCCCCTTATTTTCATTAATTTCGGACATTTCATTTTCCATATTATTATCCTTATGGCTAAGGAGATCTTCCATATGTCTATCTTTGTAATCATTTTCTTGATAGTTGTCCTCAATAATTATCTTTTCAAAATCATCGTCTAAGTTTAATTCTTCCGATCGAAAATTCTCTTCTTTAAATTTTTGTTCCAAAACTTTCTTCTCAGATCTAGGTTCTAACTTGTTCTTTATTGGTAACAATTTAGTAACTATTGTTGATTTAGTCGATTGGATAGTTGTTGGAGTAGTTGTAGTGGCTATAGTAGAAGGAATAGTTGGCAGTGTTTTTGTAAGAGCTTCTCGTTTTTCTGTAGTCGACGTCGTTGCTTCAGCAGTTGTAATAGTTTTTGCTGTAGTTATTTCAACGGTTGTATTTTGAGAGTGATACAGGTAATGTACCGAAGCAATCGGGTACAGTATTTTTGTTATATCCACAGAGGTATTATTTTGAAAGTTATACCATTTTCTATCATGTGTACTTTTCAATGCATTATTTTTAGCACTCCTATAGGGTTGTTGAAAAACGATTTCTTTAGTTTTCTTGCATGATGAGATTAACTTCCTTTTCACTAATTCTAAGCTGTGGACGTCAAGATTCAAGTAATTATCAGCTGAATCAGTAGTAAAAATATCTTTATCTTCAGTACTATCATTGTAAACCAGATCGGTTGGTATTCTTTTGTTATAGTTGACTTTGTTTAAAAAGTTGTAGTCCGGTGCTGTCGTCATCAAATGTAAGGGATCATGTTTATTAAAACTTTGCTTTAATGTTGGTAATGTTGTTTTCTCTTCAATAATTTCAGTCCTTTCTATAAACATGGGTGGTGTTGTTGTATGTTTTGTATGGCCTTTGAAATCGTAGTTTTGTTGTCCTATGAATTTTGGTTGGAGTAAACTCACGATGGTCTTTAACGTCTGATCTCTTTTTATGTCATTTAGTTTTGTTGGTATATATTGTTCTGGATAATCAACTTTTACATCAGTTACACTAGCCGTCGAAGGAGTTGTTTTCTGAGTAGTTGGCTGTTCAGTCTGGTCGATATTAAATGTACTAATGGGTTGGGTAGTTGAAGGAAGTTGGGTATCATCTTTGTCGCATGGTGATTTTTCGAGTTCGTTTGCTAAAATTGCAGATTCTGTTTGTTGTTGTTGTTCTGTTGATTCATAAGATGGCATCAATAGTTTTATGTTTGATATTAAATTTTTCAGGATTTCACTGATTTTTTTAGGACATTTACAATTGATAGATTTTCCTTCTTTTGTTATTTCTTTTTTGGTTAAACTACTATATGAATGAGATTCTCCTTTATTGTTTTTTGATATGGGAGTTGTAACTGTTTTCTGTGTTTGTGTCTCATCTTGCGCGTAATCGTCGTACTTAGTCATAGCTTGAGTTGAACCAAATGTCACACGATCACTTATCATTTTATCTACATAATTCATGATGCGTTGGTAGTCTCTAATTTTCCTTATCTTTGTGAAATAATCATTTTTAGGTGTTTTAAAATAGACTATTGGTGAAGTTTTATATTCGATAGCAAGAAGTCTGGATGTTGGAAATCTAATCCAGTTACTTCGACCGGAAAACACGTTCTTCTTGTAAGGGTATTCAGTTGTGTACCCTTTTTCATATCCTGAACGGGGAGTTGTGTAAACATCAAGGAATTTGTCGATAAGTTTATTCTTGTTTATAGCTTTTATTAAAATTGGCAACATTTTTAAAGTCATTTTGTCTATGTTATAGTTGACATTGTTATAAATATTATCATCTGCGGAGTTATTTATTAAGTCTCGCCAGTTCTGTGAACGTTTATGCTCTTCATGCTGGTTGAAGTTCAGTTCAAAGACAAGAAGAATGCTCTGAAATGAAAGAAATAGATACATTTTATTGTTAACTCACGATAGGCAAAGAGAATTGAAATTGGTAAATTACGACATTTAAGTATAGTAAAATAAGAAATTATAATGAGAATAAAGTTTGAGTTTGGAGAAACGACCGACCTTCGACCTTCGTGGAAATCAATTACTCAAATATAAATTTCGAAGTTAAAATATAAATTACAATTTTAACTTATAGTAGAAAGTATTGAAACAAAACCAACAAGCAGTACTTACCTTAAAAAAAACACATCAAGTTAGTCACATATACACGGTTTAACTAAAACTTAGAAACATGTTAAAGTCTTGTTTAAGTTATAAACAATATGTTTCATCAAAATGGATACACGATCTTTAAGGTGCTGTTAATTTTTGTTGTAAAAAAAAGCAAATCGAGATGACTTCGCCATATAAAGTATTATCAAACAAAACTATCAGAATGGGACACGCTTTCTCTGTAACGCTTAATTGACGTTGCAAGACTTAAATGCATACTGCAATTCGAGTTCAATTCTGGATTATAGCTTCAAGCTTCATCTAATCTGTAGCTTAGTTTTACCTCCGTCAAAAAACGTGTAAGTATAAAATTTGATTTTACACTTTTTTTAGAGTTAATGTATTATATTCATTTAGGCGTGTAATAGTAAATTAAATACATTTTTCATGTCAATGTTCTTCACTGAGTAAACACACTAATTGCTCCCGTATTTAATGTTTTTATTCCGTACGCGTGGAAAATTGTCGACAACACACAATCGGCAATTAATTGCACTTCCCTATTTTACATCGACTTTTAATATAACCCCTTTATATATTAAATTACTATGCTTTACTTTCTTTTTTTAATAAAATGCGAAAGAAAGAGAATAACATAAAACTAAGAACTAAAAGAAGAGATGTCAATGAATAAAATAAAGTTGTTTTTTTTTTTATCTCAAATTTGTTGCAATTCATTTTACATGTTTATTTTTTTCTTGTTTTCACTATTAATTTTAATTTTTTTTTTCATGAGATTACGATCTTCTTAGAGTAATATCTATTTTAATTAACAATAATTTGCAGTTACTCAGTATCTCGCATTAAAAATAAAAATGAAAATTACAAAAAAAATCTAATAACTAAACGAGTAAGTTAGCACAAGAATAACACATAAAACTTTCTCCTAAACATCGAATACTTACAACAATAATTGTAACGGTGATCGCAGTGGAAACCGCTGCGCAGGCGCAGCCTTGCCGAATCTGACGTTTCCTGGAGAGCCTTAAAAACTCCTCGGTCCTTGCGTCTATAGTCCTGTATAGACCAAAATGTCTGGCCTGAGAGCTGCTGCTAGTTACCGACTGGTCACTTGTCATTTTGCTAATCACATTACTAGATCGAGAAAGAATGTCCCACCCTTTGTTTGTTTGTTTGTACGATTTACAAACACGACCACTGTGTGCGTCCGTACTCAAAAATGCGACGGATTCTTATGCGCCAATCATAATGTTATTCTACGAGATTGTTTCTACGTTAACCACAGGGAGGAATTAATTTTTGGAACGATTATATCGATATCGATGAATTAATAGGAAAATAGAAAATCATTTAAGGCGAAAACCATCACTTAAACTTTTTCATAAGTAATGTGATTGCAGATTTTTCATTTTAATATCATATTGGCTTGATACCATATCCAACAGATTTCATACATTTTTTCTTAAAGATTCAATAATCGAAATCATAACGAAACATTCTCCTTTTAAAATATACCTTCTTACTTGCAGGTCCTTCTAGCTTTACTTTATATAAAAATTTAGGAGTTAAGAATTGTAATTAATGTTGATGTCCGTAGAATTTGATATCGATAGTGTGTACAACACTAAAGTCATCAGAGCATGCACGAACATCGCGCACGGGAGAAACGTATTTATTAATTCAAACAAAATGTCTATGTGCCTGTGTACTCTATAAATATTCAAATAATCAAAAATGTACAGTCTATAATACCTAATTTAATATTTAAATTTTACTTACAACGTTACGTAAACAAAATACTTCAATTTGAATTCTAATTCCAACAAAAAGTGTAGTCAATGAATTCAAAAGAAATCCGAATAACATTTTAGAAATTAACAATTTTATTCAAATTTTACATTACTTTTAATTTTCTAGAATTGCTCGATAAATACTATATTTTTTCGCTTTAATTTAAGTAGTGTCTCATAGTACTAAAAACGAGAGAAAGTTAATAATAAAGTCAAGTAACGCCAGAGATGGTAAGCGATTCGTAATGTTCTCTACAAATTATACCTCATTGTTGGCTATGGTAATCGCGCACAAAATGGCCATATCTTTTATCTGAAACGCTTTAAATGTAAATCAGATAGCCTTGTTTAATGCGCCTGACAGTTTGAATTTCAAGTGCGAATTAATATATTATACAATATTCCAATTAGTTAATGAAAATATGGTTCATATAACAATAGTTCTTTAAGTAGATTTATGTACATTTCCACCTAAAAACGTTTAAAGTGAATAGATAGGTCACTTAAATTCAGGATTTCTTTAGATATAAGTAAAATCATGAACTTAGGTGACCTAAACATTAGTGAAGAAATAATTTTACCATGGGCCCCAATAATGCTGCTTAAGAGATGGTCGGCAAAATGTGCAAGGGATAAAACAATTACGGTAGATTCTTTATATTTTGGTTTAGGCTAAGCGCCATCTGCGGTTCGTCACCTCAAGTCCGGTGAATCTGTAAATGCCTCTTCAAGGCAACCGGTGACCATGCAGTCACAAAAAAAAAATATTTTGGATCAACTAAGGTATTCTTTGTTCTATTTCTACAATATTTCATCCTTAAAAGACATGATTTTAGTTTCAGGAATTTTGTGCGAGTCAAAACAATATAGCTTAGTTCTTAAAATAGATCAGACTAATTGCTTTTAGTCAAAATGTCTAAAAATACTCAATAAATTGCATTTTCGCGTGACAACCAACAATATGAAGTTTCGGTAGTGTCTGAAAGTATTACAATATTTTTTTAATTATGTTCTTACGTAACTTCTAGTCATCGTATCTTTACTATACCTACAAACCAAGACGACATACTATGATAATATTAAGTAAAAAGCATTTTCAGCTTAAGCAAAAACGTAAGAATTGCATAATTGAGAATAAGTTGACAACTATGGTTTTTATAATAAAATGTTACAGGACATGAACTATCTTTAACTAAAGGTTTATGAAAATCAGATAGCCAGGAGCAGAGTTAGGAGGTAACAAAAAAAGTACAAAGGAAGTGAATGTCTCTTTCTTTTTGTCGCTTAAAACTATAGTTGGTCCATAACAATTTGAACATTCTTTATTAGCCTTAGGATAAACTTGTCTCCCATAACTTTTAAAACTGTTACTTTTTCATATTATCACATAGTTCCAAACTCTATTAGTTCTTTCTGTTCAAGTTACAGGATTCTAGTCTACTAAACTACTTCATTTAATTCTAGAGATTGTAGGGGAAAATTTGAAAAAATAAACACGTATTTTATTATTTTTTTATTTAAAATATAACTTTACAATCTTAAAATTAAAATTAGTAAATAAGGCAGTGTTGATCACTCGTCTCCATTGAGTATTTCTATTCATTATTGTAATATACAAGCGTATATTAATATGAATCTGGTAGTTTAGAGCGTCCGCACACCTGAAACTAAACTATCGCACAACTGTTTAATCTCGCTTTGATTCTTATGAGCTTATACAGAGGTTCGCACACTATTCGATGTTTAGTTGTACAACTAATCAGTTGAATCAGTTGTGAAATAGTCGACAATCGACAATCGTACCACAGTTGTGCGGTAGTTTAGTCAAAGGTCGTCCGCTCTAAAGGGCCGTTCAATCTATTAGTTTAAAATAATTCAAGTATAAACTATGAATTTAAATATTTACAAAGCGGATACCACAATTTTAAATCAGCCCGGAAGAAATTTAGTCGGTATTAATAAAACCCCATTCAATGCTTGAGAGAAAGAACTTGGTAAATTTGGTATCACATTAAGTATGGCATCTAAGAAAGAAGTCACTTATCATAACTTAGAAAACGAAGGGCACCTTAGGTCTATCATAGTAGTAACCTTGGTCAGGTACAAAAGGCGGTCGAGTCGTGTAGGGCACTCGAGTGGTCGAAGGTGGAATGTATATCGGTCTTCTAGTGGTAGGCGGAGTGATGTAAACTGGAGGTCTCGTTGTGGAGGGAACTCGCGATGGAGTAGGACTGGGATAGGTGTATCCTGGTGTGGGAGACGTGGGCCGAGGTGACGGCGGCGTTGGCCTCGTTGTAGGCGATGGTGGAGGTGGTGGTCGGGTGGTTGGTGATGGCGACGGTGATGGTGGAGGTGACGGTTGCGTGGGAGGTCTTGTAGGTAAAGTAAAGACGACACTCGGTGTGGGATAATCGTAACCAGTTGTTCTTGAAGTGGAGTAAGTGGGCGGGCGTCTTGTTGTGGAAGGTGGCGGTGGCGGTG